TCTCTGCCGGACTAATAACAAGTTTTTAACATCATATAAACCCAGCATTTTCCCCTCATTTCGGCCCTACTGAACTCGAAGTAATACACATGCTTAAGAATACTATTTCATTTTTGGCTCAGCAATCGCAACCGATAAGTGATTATTTTACTATATTGAAAAACCTTCACAGAACATCGCCCAGTCTCCCCTCTCGCAGCTTCATTCGGGGTTTTGACGTTTAAGACCGTATACTAATTTACAAAACCTGTCATGAATTATATCAACATCTGGGGATGGGTGGCAACACCATATCTCAAATCCATATAATAAGATTGGCATGGTTTTAATATCAAAGACATGAAGGTGTATACTTATAAGAAGTTTTTGAAACATAAAAGATTTACATTGCAATATTTGGATAACTTTCCAAGCTTGTTGCGCTGAGGTTTTTTGGGTTAAGTACCATGAAGCAGATGAGGAAAAATGAACACCCAGATATTTACAGCTGGAAACTATTTCAAGGTAATTTGTGTTAAAGCGATTTTTTTCATAACACCGCAATGGTCCACCATTTCTAAAAACCACGATTTTACTTTTATCAATATTAACCTTTAATTTCGATTTGTTACAATAAATATCTCAACGCTTTTGTACGCCAACTGGAGTGAAATCAAACATTACAATGTCGTCAGCAAACAGCAATATAAACAACTCTAATTGGTCTATGGTAATTCCTCTTTGTCCATCAGAACTTAAAAAGTCTACAATATCATTGATAAAAAAAAAGAAAACAAAAAAGGTGACACGCGGAAAAGTTTATTCATTGGATATGCTGCCTGTTATCGAACACCGAGGTTTGTTTTGTTTGTTTTCAAACTGTTTATTTTTATTTCTAGTAGGCATGGATGTCAGCCATTTACAGGGTGCTTCATAAACTTAATGGCTCGACAGTGAGGAGAAGCGCACATAAAATATATAGAAGACCATGGATAGGACTTATCGAATCATACAATTGTATTATTGCGTCGAAATCTTAGCTTCAGAGAGTAACTAATTGTTCAAGGATTTCCATTTTTCTCTCAGATTTAGTCAGTCGATAATTCTTTACAGCTGTAAATATTTCAACGCTGTATATGTATATATATATATATATATATATATATATATATATATATATATATATATACATATACATATATATATATATATATGTTAACCTACGAATGCATCGATTGACAAAGATATTGTTTTTTTTATGATGCGTGCATGTACATATTTTTTAGTTAGAAGAATTATATGATTTGAAAGCAAACTGCTTGGATTAAGGCAGAACAATCTTTCCATTTTCGTCAAATCATGTTTACTGGTAAAGTGGAAGATAATGAAAGTCTCAATTGTTTATCCAAAAATCATTTACAACTTAACATTCCAACCATGCATCAAGTAAACTTTCAGACATAGATCAACACAAAGAGCAAACGTCTTCATCCACTTACTAATGTTCCAAAGTACTATTTTGGTATATTTAACTCTATTAATGAATCTATATTGAAAGTAGAATAATTTAACATATTTGGTGTAATTCTGAATTGAGAGCATGCACATTTCCATGGATTGTTTATATTGAGTTTACTTTGGCATTTTTCGCACAACGCTGGCGGATTTGCTGTGGTAATTCATTTATCGTATATCTAGTGAGTATGGTTTTATGCCGCTTTTAGCAATATTCCAACAATATCACGGCGGGGGGACACCAGAAATTGGCTTCACCCATCGTACCCATGTCGGGTATCGAACCCGTGTCTTCGGCGTGACGAGCGTACGCTTTAACCACTAGGCTACCCAACCGCCCCCATATGTCTAGAACCTTTCGTGTGTGATAGCAAATCCCATAAGGTTGGCCTATATAAATGGTTATTAATATTCAATGTGTTCTCTCGTGTTTTGAGTGAGTTTGGTTTAACGCCGCTTTGAACAGTATTTCAGTTATATCACGGCGTGTCAGCTTAATGTGGAGGGAAAGCCCGAAGTGATGAAGGTCTCAGACGTTTAGCACTTTGTTGAAACCAACAAGAACTGGTATAGTTCTGACAAACCTTAAAGCACAATAAGGGTGAATCTTGATTGACTAATTTCGAAATCTATAGGAATATTCTAGCAAAAGTAAAAAAACATCCCTTCTAAATCTAAAAAAAAAAACACACACAAATGGCATCTATGTATATAGAGAGAGCTCTGTGTATATCAACCTTGTTTAATATCAGTATGCAGTGGTATTGTATATGTTTCCAAAGTGGCTAGACACACTCAAACATGCAACAACAGCCAAGGCGAACAGGTGTGTGCAAGTACCGTACAGTTATTTTCGGACACCGGATATTCAAATGGGTTATGGGAGAATGTGACGTCACGGTTTCACGATTCGACCCACGACCATACGTATCCTAAGCGACGCAACTCTGCACACAGAGGAACACGTATACCTTTCTTTCAAAATAAATGTGTTGCCTGAAACGAACAGCATCTCTTAAACAACACCAACACATAATGACGTAGTTGGTAGCCGTCAACAAATATGACGAAAAACGCCAGCACGGATATGGTGCCGACGAACCATAGATCAGGACGAAGCACAAACTCGAACCAACGTTCGTTGAGGATCTCCAGCATGAATGAAACGACTGGGTCACCCGTGCCGCAGACTTTGGTGATAAGAGTACAGTGTTTATTTATACACAACGATTCATTTACAGTGGAAAATATAGTTGTGGGTTTTTTTCAATACCAATTGATCTCCAACCCTTGAATATCCGGGGTGACCCGTGACGATCCGGGGTAGAAAAGGTTCTCGGCAACCCATGCTTGCCGTAAAAGGCCACTATGCTTGTCGTAAGAGGCGACTGACTGGATCGGGTGGTCAGGCACACTGACTTGGTTGATGCATGTCATCGCATCCCAAATGCGTGGATCGATGCTCATGATATTAATCACTGGATTGTCTGGCCCAGACTTGATTATTCACAGTCCGCCGGCATAACTGGAATATATTGCTGAGTGTGGCGTTAAACAACTACAAACAAACAAACAGACAAACGAAGATCCGGGGTAGAATTGTACTTCAGCAGCCATGTTTGTCGTAAGAGGCGACTAAAGGGATCGGGTAGTCAGGCTCGCTGACTTGGTTGATGCATGTCATCGTATCCTTATTGCGTGGGTCGATGCTCATGATGTCAAATTACAGGATTTTCTCGATTATATCCAGACCGCCGTCGTACAGCTGGGATATTGCTGAGTGCGGCGTTAAACATCAAACAACGTGGTTCTCGATCCGTAATAAGCTGAACTGTACGTCCACAGCTCTGTATTCATTCATCAGCCAGATTAATTTGGAAGAGTGAGTGAGTTGGGTTTAACGCCGCTTTTTAACATTATTCCAGTTATATCACGGCGTGTCAGCTTAATGTGGGAGGAAAGCCCGAAGTGATGCAGGTCTCAGACGTTTACCACTTCGGTGAAACCCACGAGCACGGGTATGGTGCTGACAAACCTAGGAACATATACAGGGCGAACCGGTATTCGAACCCACAATCATGGGTTTCTGGCGTGCCCAAAGGACGCAACTCTGCACAGCGAATGGCGGCGCCTTAGACGACTGGGCCACCCGTGCCCGCTAATTTGGAAGAAAACTTTGAAAGTGGGGTCGAGGTACAGCGGGTGTAACTACGAGTTGCCATAGGAACAATTTTAAGAAGAATAACGTTTTTGGACGGTTCATTAAATTATGTTAAGAAATATATGTTTCCAAAGAATTTCTAGATAATATCATACCCGTATGGTTGGTTTGTTGTTTAACGCCGCACACAGCAATATTCCAGCTATATAACAGGCAGTCTGTAAATAATCGAGTCTGGACCAGACAATCCATTGATTGACATCATAAGCATTGATCCACGCAATTGAGATCGATGACATGCATCAACCAAGTCAGCGAGCCTGACCACCCGATCCCGTTTGTCGCCTCTTACGACAAGCATCGTCGCCTTTTACGGCAAGCATGGGTTGCTGAAGACCTGTTCTACCCCGGATCTACACGGGTCCATACCCGTATGGCTCTACCGGACATACTGACATTAAATAACGCACGGTGTTTGCTTTCTTACATTTGTCGATTCGAAAGGTGTCGATAAACGATAAGGCAATATGTGGAGCCTCTTCAATGTCATATAATAAATAAACATCGACATTATTAGATAGATGCTCTCATATAGATGGCATGGGATTTGTTTACATGATGTTTGTGTTAATTTTCACACACGTTGAAAAGATGTGCAGGTGCATGTTTATCTGTTATATAAATTTAAATATTCGAAACTCGACCCATGTTTTAAACTTTGATCACTGCATTAAATATAACCATGCATGGTTCTGTTCGCATGGGCAATTCTATAAGTCACATTGAATATTGACAGAATTTACAGAACCATATTTAACATAGTCAGTTATTATTTTAGTATATAAAAAATATCGCTGAGGTTTTTCCTCCACGCCTGGTAAGTTCGCCGGTGAATGAAAACAGACCGACGTAAGGTAATATTTTATGTTTGCTTCTTTAAGTATATAATTACCCTCCGTGTACTAAAACTACCGAGAATGTCCCTGATTCTAGAAACGGCAGTCAACGTTATGAGTGAAGCTTAGAAAACTAAAATGTTTCCTGATGAGAGAATTTAATTTTTGCGCAATTAATTTCGAAATCTATGGGAATATTCTTGCAAAAGAAAAAAATATCCCTTGTAAATCTATTAAAAAAAACCCACACACAAATGGCATCTATATAGATCTATAGAGAGAGCTCTATGTATATCAACCTTGTTTAATATCAGTATGCAGTGGTATTGTATATGTTTCCAAAGTGGCTAGACACACTCAAACATGCAACAACAGCCCAGGCGAACAGGTGTGTGCAAGTACCGTACAGTTATTTTCGGACACCGGATATTCAAATGGGTTATGGGAGAATGTGACGTCACGGTTTCACGATCGCAGATGAACAAAAGATGGCGAGTGGGGAAGATTTGGTGGATTGAATGGCCAAACCGCCTCCAAACCACCAAACTGGCCTTTTATTACATCCACCGGATGTGTCCTTGTGCGTAGGGAATGGAAAAACACAGCTGTAGCAATTGCCAGTGTGATATTTCTGGCTTCAGAATTCGATGTGCTGAATGCCCAGACTTTGACCTTTGTTTACAGGCAAGTGTGACGTCACGAGAAAGCTTTCGCTCGAAATAGGTCATCTCGTTTTCCCTTGAAATCAAACTGTATAATGCATAGTCTTATGATTGATTTGAACAAAAGTTTAAGATTGCACATTTTTCTTTATTTTGCAGTGTTTTTCTTACGGAGCAGAAGTAGGATCTCACCGAAAGGACCACCGTTATCGAGTGGGGGTGAGTAAATGCAGAAGCTACAGGCACGGACTTCCCCAGCTGGGATTAACCCGCCCATGCATGCATAAGCCAATCAAATTGTCCGTTACATTGAAGTTCGGTCGATGTAATACCCGGAAGTGAGAGAACAAATAAGTTTTACTTAGTAAAAATCTTACAATAGTGACTGATCTAATTAAGAAGCTTGAAATAAACAAATTGAAGACCCCACTTATCTCTGTGTCCAAGTATTCATAAGATACTGAACGGTTTTTAAAAGAATTATTGTTATTACTCTGAGGGTAACAAGTAAAGCCTTGCTCTCTCCTGTTATTCTTAAAAACAGAACAAAGCGTTCTTGACCTTTTCTTATTAATATATTATACATTTATCTGAAATCAATGATGGTGATATAACATCATGTGCAGCTGGATAGTATTTATTATTATCCTTCTAGATCTATTTTTGATGAAACCTTACCTGCAAACAAGCTCATTTGTCTTCCAGCTAAAGTTAATAAATTTGATTATTATTGAAATTATGTGATGAGATTTGAGAAATTTAGATTAATTAATCACTCGTAAAGAAGATGCTTTCTCAAATTAGGGGATAGTTGTAATTTAACATAAACTGTTGCCTTACTCAGTAAACAGAGGGGAGAGGAAAAGCAATTTCAGCCTACTAATAGCCTTAACTTGTGTTTGGTAGGGATCCTGGACCGTGATCCTTTTTAGTATACTTTATTGTTCATTTATATGGACATTTATAAGGTGGGATTCAGACAAGTAGCGCTGACAGAGCTCCAGATAAGCTTTTGGTGTTGTGGGTATTTTACCCATGCATTTTAAAATCATTGGGTATCAGTAACTCTATCTGCGTATTCAAATTTCTGTTACCCACTAGTTTTTACACATGTGGGTATTTAAGTTAAATATTTAAAAACACTATTCATCTAGTCCCTACAAACTGGTGTCGTGTGGGTTCGAGAGCTTTATAGGACTAAAAAATACCATGATACTTCCACAAGAAAGTGTGATGGCAAATGATCATGATGTAACTGTCATCGTGGAGTTTGGCAAGGTTGACGGAATGCCCGTTATAATTTCAAAATAAGTTGCTGATTTGCTAATCGAATATGCAGGGTTACTTCACAATATTTTGATGATACGCACAAGTTTTATTTTTGTAGCGTATCTGTAATGTTCGTTGCGTATTTGATACGCTTAGATTATATTTTACTGTGTATTTCTGCTACTTCGCCAACTCATCATGCTCATATTCGCCAACTACTTTTGTTGACCCTCTTTGTCAATTCAGTAAGTTTGAAGGCAGCATCCTTATCAGGATTCTGCACCCCTTTGACAGCCAAAACACAATGAATCTGTTTATCCAAAAGAAACCTGCACAAGACACATTTGTTCCTACTATGGTACACCTATTTGAGTATAGATGCCATGGGACTCAGAAATGACATGGTCTAAAACAGCCACTATTTTAGACCATTCAGAAGTGCAACCCCACCCCTTGTTATCTATAGCGTCGCAAAGGCATGTGTATCGGGGATGCATTATAAAAATGTATATGGCCTGAGCCTTATGAATGAAATTCCCCCATACTAATTTCGTCCGGATTCTGGTTTACATGGTTTAGAATAGTTACCCAGCATGGGTGGTCAGGCTCTGTGACTTGGCTGATTGTATGTCATCATACCTCACCGTTGCTCATATTGTTCAAGGGACTGTGGGGTAGTCTAGTGGTTAAAGCATTTGCTCATCATGCCGAAGACCCGGGTTTGATTCCCTACATGGGTACAATGTGCGAAGCTCATTTCTGGTGTCCTCCGCCGTGATATTGCTGGAATATTGCTAAAAGCAGCGTAAAACCATACTCACTCACTCTCTCACTCATATTGTTCACTGGATTGTCTGATCTCGATTAATTACAAGCCAACGTAATATTGCTGGAATATTGCACTACAGAAATCATAAATGTGGCTCTGCATGTACCATGTACCATGTACCATGTGTCCTGAGATTTAAGAAGCTCCATGCTAATTAGCTGATTAGAAAGTTCACAACCTATTGTTAGATGTTAAGGGAGACAGGTATGAAATCAGAAAATCATGCGATTTTAATTAGAAAGGATGGCATGAATACTTAGATGTGCTGGTCCAGAATATTCCAGGTGGATTTTGCTGAAAGTAAAACAACATCCATTCCTTAATTAATTGTATGCATCATTGCTTTTTCCATGATCTCAATAAACTTGTTTGCAGAAGCTTAAACTTGATGCTCATTTGTAAAAAAACAAACAACTTGACTGTTATTAAAGGTCAGTCAGGTATTTCTATTCTGTGCACAAAATAAGATGATCAGATTCAACTGTAAAGCAGGGGTAGAAACTAATATTTTTAGTCCACTAGTCATTGTAATGATTACATATAGCAAAACCCTTACAAATGGCAAATTTCTACTAGTCCTAATGATACCTAAACTATTGGGCAGATTGGCAAGGACTACAGGACTAGTGCCAATTTCCAAAGCTGTAAAGAGACCTTCGTACTTGCCTGCTTGTTGTGCAGTTGCATGCATGGGGTAATTATTAGGGCTGTTACGATTCACTCGCATATTCGTTGCAGCCCTAGTAATTATCTATCACTGACCTACCCCATTCAATATTATTATGATCTCTGTTCACAGCACTGATTTTCAATTTCTGGTTCCTCTTTCAGAGTGACAGCCCTCCCTCTGTGTTTGACAATCCAGACCCCTGGTCTCTGGCAGAAGAAAATATGTTACTGGATGCTGTAGAACAATATGGATTTGGCAACTGGTAATTCAAGCTTTGAAATTCGTATTCGTTTAGGACAAGTCCATAGGACTAGTGTCGACCTTATTTACAAGTCCTCAAGAGTTTGTAGCTAGTCCTGCTTGAGCAAGAAGAAAATTTGACTGTTTACATTTTCAGTCAGTTGTACTCAGTTCCAATTTGTAGCAAGATTGAATCACTGAGAACTGGTTCAAAATTATATCCCTCAAATGCTACTAGTCAATGAGGATTACCATCAATGGATTTTTACTTGTAACAATTCAGTCATCTTGGGCTAGCGGACTAGTGTGGATTTCGAAGGCTGATAATTACACTGGCTAAGTGTCGGGTGTTACTACTATGATGATGATTGTCAGTGATTATCATGGTTATTGTCAGTGTGACTGGTATCTGTTTAACATGTGTCAGTGGTCAGACTCGCTGACTTGGTTAATGCATGTCATCAATCCCAATTGGGTGGATCGATGCTCATGATATTAATCACTGGATTGTCTTGTCCAGACTTGATTATTTACAGACCGCCGTCATATAGCTGGAATATTGCTGAGTGCGGCGTTAAACAACAAACTAACCAACCAACAACCAAAAGTCATTTCTTCATGAACCATACCATTACATATTTTTTAAACCTAATGCTTGAAATTCACCTCATATTGGCCTCATCATGATCATAAACATACCTCATGTATAATGTGTGAACAACATAAATGATTCTGAATTTTGATGTTTGTTCATGGCAAACCAAACACAACATATACTGATAGAGCGTAGTGATTTTGTACATGTGTAGCACGTAACCCCATATTCTGTGTGTTGTTTTGCAGGGAAGATATTGCTAACCATGTCGAAAGCCAGAAAGCACCAGGTATGTTATGGATGAAATATTTGAAATGTTGATTGTTTTATGTATTTAGGCATGTCAGAAATTGGTCCCCACTTGGTCTCTTTGAACAATGAGGGGGCACGGGTGGCCCAGTCATCTAAGGCGCCGCTATTCGCTGTGCAGAGTTGCGTCCCTTGGAAACGCCAGAAACCTATGATTGTGGGTTCGAATATCGGTTCGCCCCGATTATGTTCCTAGGTTTGTCAGCAATATACCCGTGCTCGCAGGTTTCACCGAAGGGGTAAACGTCTGAGACCCGCATCACTGTAGGCTTTCCTCCCACATGACACGCAGTGATATAACTGGAACACTGTTAAAAGTGGCGTTAAACCCAACTCACTCACTCGCTCTTAGTACAACGAGGAGACACCATCATTGACTCATGTTCAATGTCAAGATTGCCTTAGTATATGTATGTGTAACTGCTTTGAAAACTAAGCATGAAAGTCAAGGGATCCTTGTTATAATCTTAATGCTAAAAGTTAAGGGTTCAAATACCATAGAAGACCTGGGCCTACTTTGCTAAGTGATCATTTTGTGCGTTGTACACAATGTTCCTTATCTATGATGTTTGAATATTCCACTTGTCCACTGCAGGGAGGCTTGGTAAGAATATGTCCCCTCCACTATACATTGCTTCGTGGTTTGTTTGTTTATAAATTGTTTTTATTCATTCTAGAGGGTAAATAGTCATCGTATCATATAAAGCATTTAAAAGAGAAATGGGCCTCCAATTTTTTAAGAAACGTCTATCTTTATTTGGTTTTGGAATGCATGTTATAACTCCTCTATTCATTGTTAAACTCAGAGTTGTTTTTGAAAGTGTCCTTGATATAGCGATAAATCCAAATGTTGATATCTTTCCAAAAATATTTGAAAAATTTGATAGGAAAACCATCAAGTCCCGGGCTCTTATTATTTTTCATTGACTTAATAGCAGCAGCTATCTCGTTAAATTTTTATATCTTCATCTAGTTCTTCTGAAAGATTGTTATTTAAAGTTGGAGTGGTTATGTCTTTTAAACAATCTAAACCTTCAGCATCAATATCTTCTGTCTACTTGTATAATTTTTCGTAGAAGTTTTTCTGTTCCGTTATTATTAGAGAACCATCTGTTATTTCCTCACCTTTATCAGTAATAATAGTATTGATAAGTTTATTCGTATAGTTCCTGTTTTCTAGGTGGCAAAAGTAATTAGTTGGTTTCTCTCCTTCGTTATACCACTGTATTCTATTACGTATTTGAATTCCTCTCATTTCTTCTTCTTTATTTGTTTCGAGCTCAGATTTCCGTTCTGACAGTTTGGATAACAATGTTTCGCTGACGTTTTGAAAGTCATTCCTTACTCATGTTTCTAATTCAATTATATATTGTGTGGCCACAGTAAATTATCCAGACCTGATCAGAGATTGCCCCAAGTCTGTCGGAAATTTCAGGAAAATTTCCCAATTTGGAATTACAAGTTTCAGAGTTACATTATTGTAATAACTGATGATGTTGCTTTGTCAGTTTACTTGGGCCAGGCTTTATAAGAAATACTTTAGAGGCTGTTGTGGTACAGGTGTTAAAGTCCTGATGATGGTTTCACGCATAACTGATTCATTAATTGAGCAAGCTGTGCAGTGAGCCCTTCACCCATCAATGTAGTCTGTGCCAAACACTTTTGAGACTACTTGCTCCAACATGGCTCGTCACATCATTTTCAACAAGACCTAACAAAAGTTTACAAGCCTTGGAACCGCCTCCATGGTCTTGTGGTAGAGCGTCCCCCTGGAGAGCGGAAGGTCCTGGGTTCGATCCCTGGCCACGTCATCCCTAAAGACGTTAAAAGATGGAACTTGTTGTTACCCTGTCTGGCGCTCTGCATTAAGGGGCTAAAACAAGGACTGGTCTGCTCGGAGTCAGTATACTGTGTCTGAGTGGGGTAGTCATGTTATCTGCGGCATGGTATCTCAGTGAGCTAGCACTATAAATAGGCATCAGTCCGGACTAGTACAAGCAGCCACACACACACGTGCATGGACGTCACTATATAAGTGCAATAATCTTGGACGCAATGTTAAACCCAATTTCACCTCACCTCACCACCTTACTGGCTTTGGGGTTCTAACCAGTGGCTAAGGAAGCAGACTGTCAGCGTTTCTAGTTAACTTGGGAAGTCTTGAGGTAATAATCCCGATACAAAACATGAAAGATTTAAGGGATACCCCTAATCCTTATGCATCAATTATTGAACTGTATCATGTCTTATACATTTTCCAGTTATGTCAAAAAGTAAAATGTCCTTGAGTTACAGCTCTGTGGTTTTGGCTAGATTTGTATAGGGGGCACGGGTAGCCCAGTCGTCTAAGGCACAGCGATTCGCTGTGCAGAGTTGCGTCCCTTGGGCACGCCAGAAACCTATGATTGTGGGTTCGAATCCCGGTTCGCCCTGATTATGTTTGTAGGTTTGTCAGCACCATATCGGTGCTTGTGGTTTTCACCGAAGTGGTAAACATTTGAGACCTGCATCACTTCGGGCTTTCCTCCAACATTAAGCTGACACGCTGTGATATAACTGGAATAGTGTTAAAAGCGGCGTTAAACACAACTCACTCACTCACTAGATTTGTATAGCAGCCATTCTTTTAAATGTCTTTTCTTTTGAGCATGTTGAGTCAATGTTCTACATGTTCTACCCAGTTGGGAATTCTGGGTTAGAATAGGTCCCTAGCAATCTATGCTGGTCGTAGGAGACAACTAATCTACTGGGAATCAGACTTGGAGTCTTGATGACTTTGTTGATTGCGTGTCATCGTACCCCATCGTGGATCGCTGCTCACAATATCATCCACTAGACTATCTGGTCCAGACTTGATTTTTTATAGACCGCCATCACAAAGCTGGAATATTGCTGAGTGCAGCGTTACACAACAAAGCACGTACATGTTCTATTAATTTAGTAAGAAAAACATTCACTGTTCAGCATGTTCAGATTTTTATATTTGGTTCATTATGTTTGTTCTCATAACTATTGATAACGCTTTGTGTTGGAGGGAAACAAACGTACTTCTGTAACAATTCATCACAATGAACCTCTTTGTTTTTCAGAATGCCAGGACCATTATATCAACTTCTTTGTTCAGGGAAACATAGGAAAAGGTAGATTATATTCTTCTTTACTTAATTTTTATACCCCCGACCTAAAAAGGTCAGGGGTATATAGTTATACCAAGGTTCCGTTGACACAGCCATCTGCATAATGCTAACCCTGCGTCACAGGGCCATATGACACAGTTGAACCAATCAACTCAACTCGAAAGGGTGCACGGGAATCACGCTCGCACAAATACGGGGTTATGCAGATGGCTGTTTCAATGAATGCTCGTTCCACCCGTGACGAACAGGTCTGGTTGTTGATGAAATATAGTGATATCTAAATAGACAGATTTATTATTCATGCACCGATTGTCTTTAAATGTAATATCCAGTTATGCATGACTGTTTAATAATCTCATACCAACTTTGACTGGAGTAGGTCCGATAGTTTTTCAGATATTGTAGTAAATGACGGTACCTTAAATTACCTTCCAGACAATAAATGTTTCAGGTATTAACATGATCAAGAGATTGTAGACTCGCATGACCACTACCGACCCTAATAATAACCATATCATGTTTATATTTTAACTCAAGTCTTGAGTTTAGGCAGTCAAGCTTATTATGCTCTGTTGATGGAATCCTTATCTCTGTCATGCTGTTCCAGCCACATTCCCGACAGAATATGGGTTTCGAGTGTCGGACCACACCTGTCCTGATGGTGGTGAGTCGTGCTTTTATATATCCATGCTTCTCATCTTGATATTGAGGTTGTAAGATGTATGGTATGTGACAGGCATGAGTGAAGTAACATGTTTTTGACATACCTTAAAATTGCACCATGTTAGCCTTGGGCAATGCATATCTGGTGCATTCTCATGATCGCAGTGGCACATTAATACATAACACTAAGTCCATGAGTGACGTCATCCAGCCCACTGCTTACAGTGATAAACCTTGGATTTTCAAAAGGTGGCCCTAGGGCCCATAGACCTTGAAAATTGTCGGCCTTTTCATGAATATTGGGAGGCATGTGGTAAAGGTGATGCTTGTAAACACAAAAAACACATGAAGCATTTAAGACTTAATAAAAATGCTGTATAATGCATTGTTAGGCTGCTTCAGTGCAGCCATCAGTGTGGGTTACTGCAGTAAAAAATCACCCGGCTTCCTGCCAGGTCTGGGGGCAATATTGCCATAAATCTAAACATAAATATTCTGTATTGATTAGCCTCTCGCGGATGTTTTGTTCAACAACAAATAGTCCAAGGCTAAGTTTACTGGTTATTACCGGTAAACGGGAACCCTGATATAATATCATCACGTCATGAACTATAATAAAGGCATGATGCTGAAAACACTGATCGAAAACAGGACAATGACATTTGTTATGAACATTCTCAGAATGACACAAATCTTTATGAGGGCATTTCATTGGTCATTAGAAAGGCTATTAATCAATCACATGACTACAAGCTTAACGTATTTGCGATCCGGAAGTTAACTTAAAACTCAGAATAAGTTGTAAATGTGATTGTGGAAAACAAAATAGACAGCACACATACGTTGTATCATTGGGTAGTTTTTAACTGAATCATCCGGTACATTGGGAAAAATTGCTGATTGCTTAGTTTACGAGAAAGTTTTAATCTTAATCTCTGCTAATAAAACAATGCCTTGGAGAACAGGAAATACAATTTACATGGTAAATCATCATGTCTAGTGATGTGTTGGCCATCGACTCCCTACGACTCCACTCTGGTCATACCACTGATCGTCTATAACGCTAATTTATTTGGACCCCAAAGGTAGCGTTGTAGCGAGGGATCACTGTATACTTGATCTAATAATATGTTGGCCAGTTTGAGTAAGTTTCCTGCACATATCGTATACGACGAAATAAGCGCCCAGAGTGCTCTCAAAATTAGAAATAGGGGGCTCTTATTAGAATATTATTTTGCTGGAAAAAACAGAGTTGAAAGATAAATTTCGTGGTTTATGCTGGCAGCCTGAAATGTTATATACGACAGATATATTTTTCCAGAATTTAATTGCCCATAATTAAGGGTGCATATAACACACGAGTGCTTATTATACGCGAATAAATAAGTCTTGTATACATTGGTAAATCGGAAGGGGTGCTAATTGGGATTGTTCAATAGCAAATATATTAGCAATTATCGCCTTATTAGAGCGGGGCGCTAATTACGTCGAATACGGTACCTGTGATGCTAATGCTCTTCCTCTTTGGTGTGTTGAAGCTATAATGATGTGTTTCAGGTCCACTGTCCCCCAGTATCACGGTGCCAGTGCCGCCTCTTGACTTGTCCATCCAGGAACAGCAGGAGTTGGGCTACATGCCTTTCAGAGACGACTTCGAGAGGGTAAGTTTTCTCTTCCCTATTATGGTGATACTTAACATTGTATGTCCAGGGGTGAGAATCTTCCTCGGATACGCAAATGTTCGTGATTTTAGTGACCACAAAATCTGATGGCGTCCCCCATAAACACCCCCAAATTATGAACCACGCTCCATTGCAAAGAAATTTCATCTGAAAAGGAAAATATCTATTCTCATCCCTGCATGTCTGTCATAATCATAAAGTAATCATGATAATGCAGGGTTTTACCCCCAATAATTAATTTCAAGGGTCATTACAGGAAAAATGAGAGTCCTTTAAAGTAGTGAAATGGTGTAGTGTACTTTACTGTAAGATTTCATGACTATTTTAATTACAGGACTTTTAAATTTCTTGTAATGAATTTGGTACAAATATGTTACTGTGCATCCCTTCGGATGCAATTTATTTTTGTTCTACATCCATTCTATACTATAGTGCATACTGGATGCACATTTCAGCGTCATGTGAAACTCAGATAATATAAGTGCAAATTAACCACTGATGGACATTAGATACTTTGAAGAATTGAAATGAAGAGGATCTGAAGAAATGTTCCAATGTTATTTTCTGTTATGTTCCAGGAGTTTGATAACGATGCTGAAACTCTAGTCAGCGGTCTAAGCATCAATCATGATGATGATGACCTAGATATAGGTATGCTATCTTTCACAGTTGTTTGAAACCATATCTGACAACATGTACAATATTTCGTGTATGTGTGTTTTTTAAAGTTGGTGTTTTCTGTTAACATTGAGAATGTCGAGCAAATGAATTAGTATTATTGTTCTGAGTGAATGTGATGTTTTGAGTGAATGAAAATTGATAACAGCTGCCTCAGCTATAGTTCTTTGTAACTCAATCTAAAACTCATCATTACTGATAATGAAGATGTTTTTGATATTAAAACAATTCTTGTTTTTTATTGACAGAAATTAAGTTATGCCAAGTTGACAAGTATAGGTTAAGAATACGTGAAAGGGAGCGAAGAAAAAAATTGGCAAGAGATTATGGTTTAATAACATCAGCAGCATCCACCGGTTCCAAACAGTCCAAATCACAGCAACAGAAGAAAAAGATGTCAAAAGATGTCAGGTAATTACTTTCCCCATTGCTGTGCCTGAAATAGTCCCATCTGTTACATGTTGCCATTGATGTGTAGTAATGATAGTATGTGATACATCAATGAATGTGGCAGCCTTGGTATGTCATGCCAGACCCAAGAAGATCTGGGGTAGAATAGGTCTTCAGCAACCCAAGAGGCGACTAGCTTGCCGTAAGAGGCGACTATGCTTGCCGTAAGAGGCGACTATGCTTGTCGCTTCACACACGATTTCACCGAAATTAATAAAAACAATATTAAAAGGAATTTTGAATAGAATTAATGAAATAAGTTACAAACATAAGTCCAGATATACAAAGAACACTGTTTTATAGCCAGACAGTGTAATTACATGATTAAATTGCGTACTTCAGTATGGATTTGTTGACATGGTATTTCCGGTGTTTCGTGCTCACGGTAATGTCTTTCCATGGGGGGGAAAAAACATCCAAACTCATAATTCGTGTATAATGCGCACCCCCTTCTTCACAGCTGTGTTTTTTGGAAAAAAAGTGCGCACTATACTCAAGAAAATACGGTACTATTGTTTTGTCCCATACTTGATCAAACTCATGTTTGAATTTGGAATTTGATCATGTTAATAGACTACTTTGTTGTGGTGTTGGTATTTAAAAGTTAAAAGATGTTTGTTACTTGTTACAATGGATAGTGACAGGGAAAGAAGGATGTACATTTTTGTCTCTTGCTTTCCAGGGAATTCCAGGAAAAAATGAAATCATTTTCCCAGTTTCACGCGGCAGCAGAACATGAGCATTTCTTTGACGATTTACAAAGTAAGTGGAACAGACCGTAGTTCAAGCAGCGCCCTGATAGTAGGGAGCCATTTATACTGATATGGTGTATGACTGTATCTGGTGAAAGTAGAGATTTATTTGTTTACAAGATAAATATGCATGATGGCATTAAAGTTTGTCAACATCAGATAACAAGTTCTTTGGCTTTTTTTGCAGAAGAAAAAGAATTGAAATCTCGAATAAAAGAACTGTCAAGGTACAGGCGGCATGGTTTAAGTGTTATCAGTGGTGAGTTTTTGCATTGTTGGTGCATACTTGGGATAACATTTTCATTGTTAATCCTTCTTGCTTGGTTCCAGCAAGCTAATTGTCTCTGATATTGCTGGCTTTTAATTATTGCTGGCTCTTTGTTGCATAGGTGATTTAGGGAAATGTTCTTCTTACTTTCTTGTTACAACCCTGTACGAGTCAAGGGAGGTAATTGAGTTTGTTAATGATTATTTTGTTTATAAGTTTGCAAGGGGCGGTCGGGTAGCCTAGTGGTTAAAGCGTTCGCTCATCACGCCAGGTTCAATTCCTCACATGGGTACAATGTGTGAAGCCCATTTCTTGTGTCCCCCGCCGTGATATTGCTGGAATATTGCTAAAAGCGGCGTGAAACCATACTCACTCACTCACTCATTATAAGTTTGCATGATATTACAACAGTAACTTTTAGCTACTGTAACCGTGGTAACATCAGTGCATGATTATAATGGTATAAAGTTGCTTTGCTTGGTTTGTGAAGTTAATGATAGAAAAGCAATAAGCATGTTATTTTATATCTTGGTGAGTGCAAGATAAGGAATATATTTGGTGCAGCCGTGCATCTAGATCATATGATTTTTGGCTTCATTTTCAGTGGTATGTTGTCAGCAATGGTGTATATATTAGCTCCAGATAACATTATGATGTTTATTGCACTATCTTGATGTTACACCGAACATGACTTTTGATACTCGTGATCTCTATGTTTGGCAGTGGGGTAACCAAATGGTGAAAACGTTCACTTGTCATGCTGGTTTGATTCCCCACATGGGTACACTATGTGAAACCAATTTCTGGTGTCCCTGTCGTGATGTTGCTGGAATATTGCTAAAAGTGGTGTACAGACCCGTGAAGATTCCGGGGTAGAATAGGTCTTCAGCAACCCATGCTTGCCCTAAAAGGTGACTCTGCTTGTCGTAAAAGGCGACTAACGGGATTGGGTGGTCAGGCTCGCTGACTTGGTTGATGCATGTCATCGATCCCAATTGCGTGGATCGATGCTCATGATATTAATCACTGCATTGTCTGGTCCAGACTTGATTATTTACAGACCGCCGTCATATAGCTGGAATATTGCTGAGCGCAGCGTTAAACAACAAACAAACAAACAAAAGTGGTGTACACCCATACTCACTCGCTCGCTCTGAGGTCTAGGGACTTGATTACTTCGACATAAGGATGTGACCCAATCTCATTAAAATCAGATCTATGTTCTCACTACCGCTAAACAAAGATCTGAGGACATCACATTACAGGTCACATTAGAACGATCTTTCGCGAACTTTGACCGACCACTGAAACGACTAACAAGGAGTTGACATCAGCCAATTAGAAAGCAGCTTTCTCTAGCTTTACGGCACTCGTTTCAAACTGGCGACTTCCATTTCAGACTATGCTTGAAAAATATGTTGACACAGTTCTCTATTAAAATTTTGACAACTGAACAAATGAACATTCCGGAATGTCTAATATGTGGTTGTGATTGTATGGCAGTGCTTCCCACGTACTGTGCAACGCCTCCTCCGTTTGCCAGAATCCGTCAGGACTACCCCGTGTTAATGTTTTCGAGGTTACATGATTAGAAAACACATTCCGACTGTCACTTTCATGATCTGGTAAGCGACGCTTTGATTGGTCGGATGAAAGGTTGTTCTGACAAGACCCGTAATGGGATGTCCTCAAATTTTTATTTTGCGATAGCGAGAGCTAAGATCTGATTTTAATGAGATTGGGATGTGACCATTTTGAAGATGGTGAATCTGCCAAGTATAACAGTTGATAATCATTATCCCTAACTTCTGGACTTGTTTACTTTGACATAAACATGTGACCAGTTTGAAGATGGTGAATCTGTCAAGTATGACATCCAATCCCGTTTCATCTTTGTAGAAATAGAAGATTTTGAAGATGAGAAGTACAGAAGGGAAAAGAAAAAAGAAAATCGTAAAAAGATGGTGAGTTTCCTGTTGAGTGCCCGCTTGCTAAGACCAAAGAAGAGTAAGTGTTTGTTAAATTTGATCGTCCATCAAGCCTCAATCCAATCTTTTGTTTGATGCAAGCTTAGCCTTAGAACACAATCTTTACTCTTTCTCCATGTTAAGCCTCCATTAGCCCAGGACTGGCAAAACACATTACTTACCATGTTTACTGAATGTGCATTTAGGCCATGTATTCTTTTCGTGTACCATATCGACTGGAACTATTTCACATTTTTACGAAACTCATGTCTACATGTTCTATAGTATCCGACATCAATTTCCCTTGATACCATAAAAAGTCCTCTCGTTTCATAAGAATGGTATCTAACGAGAATGTATGTGATATTCTCTATGTATGCTCCAGTCTATTTTCATAACGTGAGTCAAACAGTTTTGTGAATATATCCAGGTTGATGCATGACGCTGCGGAGGAGACGTCTTGTACCCCTGGTTGTTGTCATGGTAATAGTGTTATGTCGGTCCTGTTTTGGCAGCTATGAAGTCATTTACCAATCATGGTGATGATTAAGTAAGGATAAGGAATATGGATGAACAACTTCTTTATTACAATTAGGAGCGACGTTTCGGTGTAGGTTTTAACACCGTTATCACAATATCATGATAAGGGTGTTATAACCTACACTGAAACGTCGCTCATGATAACGGTGCTATACCCTACACTGAAACGTCGCTCATGATAACAGTGTTATAACCTACACCGAAATGTCGCTCATGATAACAGTGTTATAACCTACACTGAAACGTCGCTCATGATAACGGTGTTAGAACCTACACCGAAACGTCGCTCATGATAACAGTGTTATAACCTACACTGAAACGTCGCTCATGATAACGGTGTTATAACCTACACTGAAACGTCGCTCATGATAACGGTGTTATAACCTACACGGAAACTTTGCTCTAATTGTAATAAAGAACTTGTCCATCCATTTTCCTTATCCTTACTTAGTACTCCAACTTCTAAATGCCTCTCAAAGTAGTCATTGTGCATGTTGTGATGATTGCTGATCAGTGGCAGAAATAAGATTAATATGTACATATTTTATAGAGCTAAACGACAGCCTCCGTGGTCTAGTGGTAGAGCGTCAGCCCGGAGAATGGAAGGTTCGGAGTTCAATACCTGGCCGCGTCATACCAAAAGACATTAAAAGATGGTACTTGTTGTTACCCTGTCTAGCTCGGCATTAAGAGGCTAAAACAAGGAGTCAGTATACTGTGTCTGAGTGGGGCATTCATGTTAAACTGCAGCATGGTATCTCAGTGAGCTAGCACTATAAATTGGCTAGTACAAGCAGCCACACACACACACACGTGTATGCACATCGCTATGTAAGTGCAATAATCTTGGACGCGACGTTAAACCCCATTTCACCTCACCTTATAGAGCTTAAAATGCGACTTGATTAATCATCTTAAATGTGTTTTACAGTGTAACTAAAGAATTCAGTGGTATGTGTAGCGTCGTGTATCAAAGTGCCTTACTGTTTTCTTCACATTCCTGAAATCTATGCTTGACTTTGATCACTGGATTTTCCTTCCCTTTTAGGCATTGCATCATAATCTTCTGTCTGTATTCTCATGTATGTCATTTAAGCTAATCCTAAATTTCACTTTTATAAACATTGAACTGAATGAACGAAAAAGGCTTCTAATATTTTGAATGCTGATTACATATTCTAAAATTTAGAAGAAAAATTTTCTAATCATGCTAATAGTAGGTTGCATTGACATTTTAGTAATAGAAAAACGTTGTCATCTTCAAAAACTGAATGTTATCTATTGTGTGAGAGTGTTCATTTCTCATGCTGCTTAAGCATATTATCTGTTGTTGAATGAGAACTTCCATGAACATGTGTAAGTTTTCTGTGGAGTAAAAGAAGGATTGAGGCCATGATGGGCAATGATCATATTTTCCTTTGATGTTTCAGTCTTTAGAGGGACTTTCCAAGTTTTCTTTTTATTTCATAGTTTCATTTCCACATCTGTCATATTCTTACAACACTTATGATTATCATGTAGAACTGTAGAAGTCTGTTTCATAGGGCACCTACAGGAATGCATGTTTCCTTGCTTCTGGCAGACCAGCTTCTGTTATCATGGACGGTTACAGAGCTATCTTGCTTCAACACAAGAACTGTAATCATGGAAGCGAGGGGGGGAGGGGGGCATCAATATGGCTGAAAGATAAAATGAAGGCATGACTTGACTCACCATGTAACTAATAATAAGCTGTGTATCGTTCTACAGTTTGTTTATTTGTAGAAATGCTTCACATATTGCAGGCTGTATGGATATTCTGTAGTTCAATGGAATCATGTGAACATGCTAGGCCTTGGTCCCCATTTGTTATGTGAATCAAGGTTGGTCTACAAGTAATGTTATGTGAAACATATGTGGAGTAAGGTAAAGTCACATGTAATGTTATGTGAAGAAGTTGTAAGGTAAAGCCACATGTAATGTTATGTGAAGAAGAGGTGGAGTAAGGTAAAGTCACATGTAATGTTACGCGAAGAAGTTGTGGAGTAAGGTTAAGCCACATGTAATGTTATGTGAAGAAGTTGTGGAGTAAGGTAAAGCCACATGTAATGTTATGTGAAGAAGTGGTGGAGTAAGGTAAAGCCACATGTAATGTTATGTGAAGAAGTGGTGGAGTAAGGTTAAGCCACATGTAATTTTACATGAAGCAGTTGTGGAGTAAGGTAAAGCCACATGTAATGTTATGTGAAGCAGTTTTGGAGTAAGGTAAAGCCACATGTAATTTTGCATGAAGCAGTTGTGGAGTAAGGTTAAGCCACATGTAATGTTATGTGAAGAAGTGGTGGAGTAAGGTTAAGCCACATGTAATGTTATGCGAAGAAGTGGTGGTGTAAGGTAAAGCTACATGTAATTTTATGTGAAGCAGTTGTGGAGTAAGGTAAAGCCACATGTAATTTCACATGAAGCAGTTGTGGATTAAGGTAAAGCCACATGTAATTTTGCATGAAGCAATTGTGGAGTAAGGTTAAGCCACATGTAATGTTATATGAAGCAGTTTTGGAGTAAGGTAAAGCCACATGTAATTTTACATGAAGCAGTTGTGGAGTAAGGTAAAGCCACATGTAATTTCACATGAAGCAGTTGTGGAGTAAGGTAAAGCCACATGTAATGTTATGTGAAGAAGTGGTGGAGTAAGGTTAAGCCACATGTAATGTTATGCGAAGCAGTTTTGGAGTAAGGTAAAGCTACATGTAATTTTACATGAAGCAGTTGTGGAGTAAGGTAAAGCCACATGTAATGTTATGTGAAGCAGTTTTGGAGTAAGGTAAAGCCACATGTAATTTTGCATGAAGCAGTTGTGGATTAAGGTAAAGCCACATGTAATTTCACATGAAGCAGTTGTGGAGTAAACCAGGTGCACATGTGTTATCATGATTATGGAGTAAGGTTGGTCCAGGTTTGATGGTATGTGAGGCAGTTGAGGCTTAGATAGGTCCACATTTGGTGTTATGTGAAGCTGGTCTTGTCAACCTCAGTTACCTTTGTTGTGTTTAGTATGGGACATTATTCCACTCCATGTGACTTGTTTTCTGTTTCATCTCAATCTTGCTACATTATTTCCTCCTCTCAACCCCCCTTTGTGTGTACAGGGCAGCTCAACTCCGACAAAACGAAACTCAACGGTCTCAAAAAAAGCAGAGTAAGTCATCCATCTTCTACTTTGACAGTTCTGTGTAAAGCAATTTATATTACTTAATACCATTACAAACCTCCTCAGAGGGGCTGGAAGTGCCATCCTCAATGGTGGCAGGAAATGTGTCAGTGATCCAGTCTTGTGGGAAGGGACCCCAGACCCTGCGATGTTGGTGGTCAAGAATTCACTTCGTCTTGCCAGTGGTGAATTATTTTTTTCATTGTCACCGGATTTAGGGTTGTAGCCGTGTCTGGCTTTAGCACCCTGGACTTATCTTGTTGGTCTTGGTCACCTTGGCGGTAGCATCGTGGCTAGTATGTGTGACGACCAGGCTGGTAGGGTCATCTTGGCCGTCTCTCACCATTGGCCAGCCATCTGTATCTTCTTGACCGCCCAGGGCTTGTAGTGACAGACACACACGAGGCAGTGGCAGGTCCTTGATGCTCCACTTCAATGGCTGCCAGGTTTCCTCACTGACATGGACAGCTTGATCTTGGCAGCTGTCTGAGCGTGCCTTCCCGGCTTCCATCAGCGACTGCCCCTACCGCAGACTCTTGCCAAGGAGATGAGGCTGAAGGGTTAACGGGTCATCATCCTCCAGATCAGAGGGAGCCTGGAAGTGTTGTGCAAGATGGTGCCATTCATCTCTTGTCGCATACTCCCTTTTAAGATTGTAGGCAGACAGGATTGGGGTCATGAATGGCACCTTCTGTCCATCACATGCCAGGGTCTGAAGAAAAAGCGTGGAAACATTTGTTGAGTGTTTCTCCTTGTAAACATCTTCTGCAATAACTTTTACAGGTGGCTCCCATTTCAGAACATGCCTTCCAGGCAAAATAAAGTCCCAATAAATATATATGAGGAATTGCATAGGTCATTCCTTTTTATGTTTTATACTTAGACAATACCAGTGCCGACACCTTTACAGGTCATCACCGGGATGATACATGACATCAGAATGATAAACATGGTGGCGCACATGTCCAGGTCACATGGCAACAGAGATATAACTGGAATACTGTTAAAAGCGGCGTAAAACCCAACTCACTCACATGGCAACACGTGACAGCTTTGAGGATGTCTGTTCCAGGCATGTCCCAGCTAAATGTGTAGGCTTTGCTGTATTACCCCTCTGAGAAGTATGTTAAATGGTTTGGCCATTGGTCTTTTTGTAAGTATGTCCTTTTAAAGGGAATACCTAAGAATTCCTAACATATACTCACTCATCATGTAACTCTGAAAGGCACTTTACCTTCTAGTAACAATTGTTTCCATTGCTGTATTATCCAAAGGAAATTATGAAACTAGATTACTAATTTTATAGCATCACATCATCAGCATTCTGGTTGTATAAGATTTTATTGTGATTCTTTTGCAGAGGAAAGGTAGAAAAATTAGATATACTCATCGACGACGACGGTGAGTAAAACTGAATCATTTGAATTGAATATTTAAGGTGCTCTGGTAGTAGTTATTGATGACAAAAGCACCAAGCAATTAAAACTTTGTTGTTTTTTCCTCTCTTTCTGAATATGTTGACTCATTCTGTGTGTAAATGATTTGGGGGGTCAGGCTCGCTGACTTGGTTTGTTGCATGTCATTGTATCTCAATTACGTAGATCAATGCTCATGATGTCAATCACTGGGTTGTCTGGTCCAGATTCAATTACCATCAGACCGCCTTATATAGGTGGAATATTACTGAATGTATCTTTAAACAACAAGCAAACATTTTATAAATGAAAACTATTGTATGTATGTAAAATACATCATTGGTAATGATCTCAACAGAGACCCTGCAGTCCTGTCAAAATCAGGTGAAGTTGAGATGATTGTGTTGTTACAGAAGTAAAAGATGAAGATACAGAGGAGGAGTGTAAGGAGATGGCCTCACAGCCGGGCTACGAGATGCTGTCCGAGAGAGAGAGAAAAGTATGAACAATCAATCCTTGAAGAGCAATAAGGTTGTCACATGGGGACAGGGCTGGTTTTAAGGTTTTGCTGGAATGATGCCAAAGAGGTTTTTTTTTAAGCCATGATATGTTGAGGTGTTTCAGATATACTTTAATTGTATGTCCTGCATGGCCCAGTGTACGTCCTCTATGGCCCAGTGTACGTCCTCTATGGCCTAGTGTATATCCTCTATGGCCCAGTGTATGTCCTCCATGGCCTAGTGTATATCCTGTATGGCCCAGTGTACGTCCTCCATGGCCTAGTGTATATCCTCTATGGCCTAGTGTATATCCTCTATGGTACAGTGTATGTCCTCCATGGCCCAGTGTACGTCCTCTATGGCCCATTGTACGTCCTCCATGGCCTAGTGTATATCCTCTATGGCCCAGTGTATGTCCTCCATGGCCTAGTGTATATCCTGTATGGCCCAGTGTACGTCCTCCATGGCCTAGTGTATATCCTCTATGGCCCAGTGTATGTCCTCCATGGCCCAGTGTACGTCCTCTATGGCCCAGTGTACGTCCTCCATGGCCCAGTGTATATCCTGTATGGCCCAGTGTACGTCCTCCATGGCCCAGTGTATGTCCTGTATAGCCCAGTGTATGTCCTCTATAACCCAGTGTACGTCCTCCATGGCCTAGTGTATGTCCTGCATGGCCCAGTGTATGTCCTCCATGACCCACTGTATGTCCTGTATAGCCCAGTGTACGTCCTCTATGGCCCAGTGTACGTCCTCTATGGCCCAGTGTATGTCCTCCATGGCCCAGTGTACGTCCTCCATGGCCCAGTGTACGTCCTCTATGACCCAGTGTACGTCCTCCATGGCCCAGTGTATGTCCTCCATAGCCCAGTGTATGTCCTCCATGGCCCAGTGTATGTCCTCCATGACCCAGTGTATGTCCTCTATGGCCCAGTGTTTGTCCTCTATAGCCCAGTGTATGTCCTCTATAGCCCAGTGTATGTCCTCCATGGCCCAGTGTATGTCCTTCTTAGCCCAGTGTTTGTCCTCCATGGTCCAGTGTATGTCCTCCATAGCCCAGTGTTTGTCCTCCATGGCCCAGTGTATGTCCTCCATGGCCCAGTGTACGTCCTCTATGGCCCAGTGTATGTCCTCCATGGTCCAGTGTATGTCCTCCATAGCCCAGTGTATGTCCTCCATGGTCAGGTGTATGTCCTCCATGACCCAGTGTATGTCCTGTATAGCCCAGTGTACGTCCTCTATGGCCCAGTGTATGTCCTCCATAGCCCAGTGTTTGTCCTCCATGGCCCAGTGTATGTCCTCCATGGTCCAGTGTATGTCCTCCATGACCCAGTGTACGTCCTCTATGGCCCAGTGTATGTCCTCCATGGTCCAGTGTATGTCCTCCATAGCCCAGTGTACGTCCTCCATGGTCAGGTGTATGTCCTCCATAGCCCAGTGTATGTCCTCCATGGTCCAGTGTACGTCCTCCATAGCCCAGTGTATGTCCTCCATAGCCCAGTGTTTGTCCTCCATGTCCCAGTGTATGTCCTCTATGTCCCAGTGTATGTCCTCCATGGTCCAGTGTATGTCCTCCATGTCCCAGTGTATGTCCTCTATGTCCCAGTGTATGTCCTCCATGGCCCAGTGTATGTCCTCCATGGCCCAGTGTATGTCCTCCATGGCCCAGTGTATGTCCTCCATGGCCCAGTGTATGTCCTCCATGGTCCAGTGTATGTCCTCCATGGCCCAGTGTATGTCCTCTATAGCCCAGTGTATGTCCTCCATGGTCCAGTGTATGTCCTCTATAGCCCAGTGTTTGTCCTCTATGTCCCAGTGTATGTCCTCTATGGCCCAGTGTACGTCCTCCATGGTCCAGTGTACGTCCTCTATATCCCAGTGTATGTCCTCCATGGTCCAGTGTATGTCCTCTATGTCCCAGTGTATGTCCTCCATGGCCCAGTGTATGTCCTCCATGGTCCAGTGTATGTCCTCCATGGCCCAGTGTATGTCCTCTATAGCCCAGTGTATGTCCTCCATGGCCCAGTGTATGTCCTTCATAGCCCAGTGTTTGTCCTCCATGGTCCAGTGTATGTCCTCCATAGCCCAGTGTATGTCCTCCATGGCCCAGTGTATGTCCTCCATGGTCCAGTGTATGTCCTCCATAGCCCAGTGTACGTCCTCCATGGTCCAGTGTATGTCCACCATGGCCCAGTGTACGTCCTCCATGGCCCAGTGTATGTCCTCCATGGCCCAGTGTATGTCCTCCATAGCCCAGTGTATGTCCTCTATATCCCAGTGTATGTCCTCCATAGCCCAGTGTATGTTCTCCATGGTCCAGTGTATGTCCTCCATGGCCCAGTGTATGTCCTCCATAGCCCAGTGTATGTCCTCTATAGCCCAGTGTATGTCCTCCATGGCCCAGTGTATGTCCTTCATAGCCCAGTGTTTGTCCTCCATGGTCCAGTGTATGTCCTCCATAGCCCAGTGTATGTCCTCTATGGCCCAGTGTACGTCCTCCATGGTCCAGTGTACGTCCTCTATATCCCAGTGTATGTCCTCCATGGTCCAGTGTATGTCCTCTATGTCCCAGTGTATGTCCTCCATGGCCCAGTGTATGTCCTCCATGGTCCAGTGTATGTCCTCCATGTCCCAGTGTATGTCCTCTATGTCCCAGTGTATGTCCTCCATGGCCCAGTGTATGTCCTCCATGGCCCAGTGTATGTCCTCCATGGCCCAGTGTATGTCCTCCATGGCCCAGTGTATGTCCTCCATGGTCCAGTGTATGTCCTCCATGGCCCAGTTTATGTCCTCTATAGCCCAGTGTATGTCCTCCATGGTCCAGTGTATGTCCTCTATAGCCCAGTGTATGTCCTCCATGGCCTAGTGTATGTCCTCCATGGTCCAGTGTATGTCCTCCATGGCCCAGTGTATGTCCTCCATGGCCTAGTGTATGTCCTCTATGGCCCAGTGTATGTCCTCTATGGCCCAGTGTACGTCCTCTATGGCCCAGTGTATGTCCTCCATGGCCCAGTGTATGTCCTCCATAGCCCAGTGTATGTCCTCCATGGCCTAGTGTACGTCCTCTATGGCCCAGTGTATGTCCTCCATTGCCCAGTGTACGTCCTCCATGGCCTAGTGTACGTCCTCTATGGCCCAGTGTATGTCCTCCATAGCCCAGTGTATGTCCTCCATGGCCTAGTGTACGTCCTCTATGGCCCAGTGTATGTCCTCCATAGCCCAGTGTACGTCCTCCATGGCCTAGTGTACGTCCTCTATGGCCCAGTGTATGTCCTCCATAGCCCAGTGTATGTCCTCCATGGTCCAGTGTATGTCCTCCATGGTCCAGTGTATGTCCTCTATAGCCCAGTGTTTGTCCTCTATAGCCCAGTGTATGTCCTCTATAGCCCAGTGTATGTCCTCCATGACCCAGTGTATGTCCTCCATGGCCCAGTGTATGTCCTCCATGACCCAGTGTACGTCCTCTATGTCCCAGTGTATGTCCTCCATGGTCCAGTGTATGTCCTCCATGTCCCAGTGTATGTCCTCCATGGCCCAGTGTATGTCCTCCATGGCCCAGTGTACGTCCTCTATGTCCCAGTGTATGTCCTCCATGGCCCAGTGTATGTCCTCCATAGCCCAGTGTATGTCCTCCATGACCCAGTGTACGTCCTCTATGTCCCAGTGTATGTCCTCTATGTCCCAGTGTATGTCCTCTATGTCCCAGTGTATGTCCTCCATGGCCCAGTGTATGTCCTCTATGTCCCAGTGTATGTCCTCCATGGCCCAGTGTACGTCCTCCATGGTCCAGTGTATGTCCTCTATGTCCCAGTGTATGTCCTCTATGTCCCAGTGTATGTCCTCTATAGCCCAGTGTATGTCCTCCATGGCCCAGTGTATGTCCTCTATAGCCCAGTGTATGTCCTCCATGGTCCAGTGTATGTCCTCTATGGTCCAGTGTATGTCCTCAATAGTCCAGTGTATGTCCTCCATGGCCCAGGCCTATCTTTACATTAATTATGCCATGGGTCAAGGGCATTCTCAGTGTTAAAAAAGGTTGTTTCCATGCAAGAAGTATTTATTGTAAGAAGTGAAGTTCCTTGCATGTGGTGGTGATGTTATTGCAGTATTGTTTCTTGTTAACAAGAGGTGACCGACTTGACATACCAGTATGAACCTCAGCATGCGAAGCATTTCGGTTTCCACTACTTTTACTTTTTGAACCGTGGGTCACTGATTTCAAACTGTTTACATTCCATGAAGGCATCAGGACAAAGCAAATTGATTAAAAAAAACATACAATTTTATGTTCAAACTCTCTTGGGATCACCACCTGAGTGTGCTTTACACATATCTGCCCCCTGTAAGAACACACTCATCCTACTGTAGTTGGACCGATAGACACACTCATGCTACTGTAGTTGGGCCGATAGACACACTCATGCTACTGTAGTTGGGCCGATAGACACACTCATGCTACTGTAGTTGGGCCGATAGACACACTCATGCTACTGTAGTTGGGCCGATAGACACACTCATCCTACTGTAGTTGGGCCGATAGACACACTCATGCTACTGTAGTTGGGCCAATAAACACTCATCCTACTGTAGTTGGGCCAATAGACACACTCATGCTACTGTAGTTGGGCCAATAGACACACTCATGCTACTGTAGTTGGGCCAATAGACACACTCATCCTACTGTAGTTGGGCCGATAGACACTCTCATCCTACTGCAGTTGGGCCAATAGACACACTCATCCTACTGTAGTTGGGCCGATAGACACTCTCATCCTACTGTAGTTGGGCCGATAGACACACTCATCCTACTGTAGTTGGGCCGATAGACACACTCATGCTACTGTAGTTGGGCCAATAGACACACTCATGCTACTGTAGTTGGGCCAATAGACACACTCATCCTACTGTAGTTGGGCCGATAGACACTCTCATCCTACTGTAGTTGGGCCGATAGACACACTCATCCTACTGTAGTTGGGCCGATAGACACACTCATCCTACTGTAGTTGGGCCGATAGACACTCTCATCCTACTGTAGTTGGGCCAATAGACACACTCATGCTACTGTAGTTGGGCCAATAGACACACTCATGCTACTGTAGTTGGGCCAATAGACACACTCATGCTACTGTAGTTGGGCCAATAGACACTCTCATGCTACTGTAGTTGGGCCAATAGACACACTCATCCTACTGTAGTTGGGCCGATAGAGACTCTCATCCTACTGTAGTTGGGCCGATAGACACACTCATCCTACTGTAGTTGGGCCGATAGACACACTCATCCTACTGTAGTTGGGCCTATAGACACACTCATCCTACTGTAGTTGGGCCTATAGACACACTCATCCTACTGTAGTTGGGCCTATAGACACTCTCATGCTACTGCAGTTGCGCCGATACACACTCTCATGCTACTGCAGTTGCGCCGATAGACACTCTCATGCTACTGCAGTTGGGCCGATAGACACACTCATCCTACTGCAGTTGGGCCAATAGACACACTCATCCTACTGTAGTTGGGCCGATAGACACACTCATCCTACTGTAGTTGGGCCGATAGACACACTCATGCTACTGTAGTTGGGCCAATAAACACACTCATGCTACTGTAGTTGGGCCAATAGACACACTCATCCTACTGTAGTTTGGCCAATAGACACTCTCATCCTACTGTAGTTGGGCCAATAGACACTCTCATCCTACTGTAGTTGGGCCAATAGACACTCTCATCCTACTGTAGTTGGGCCAATAGACACTCTCATCCTACTGTAGTTGGGCCAATAGACACTCTCATGCTACTGTAGTTGCGCCGATAACACACACTCATCCTACTGGTGATGGATATAGATAATTGTATCAATATTGGGTAATGAGACGAGCTACTACGAACATGGTATATCTGGATATTTGTGATATATGCAAGAGATTTATTATACATTTGCTGTTCAATTTCAGCTATGCAACTCCATTGGGATGACACCTGCCAACTATTCAACTATAAAAACCTGCATCATCAAAGTAAGATAATGGATTCAGAATGATTTTACCTCCAACTTGTATTGTCATTTATTTTTCCTTTCTTGCCCATTCCAAGTGATCATTGTGTAACAGTCTTTGCTAAATACTTTTGACACAACCAGCCCAAACTGGGCTATTAGCATCATTTTCAGTAGAATTTTGTGTTATTATGAGGACTATTATTAGCTGAGGATACTAGACCAAACAGATTTAATTATACAAGACTCAGGCTTCAGACAAGCATCTTCCCGAGGCAAGAGAATTAACTGACTTTAAAAGTCCAGTTTCCACCCTTGCCGAACTAGGCTGGAATTACTGGGCTCGATCGTTGCGCCACCAGTGGCTATTACCAATTATGTCCCTTCTAAGCCTCTCCTATGGACCAATCAGATTCCACCTCTTGTATCACTTGCGTTTGCTTCACACAAAAAGGTGGCGCCCAGTCAGGACGACCTGATCGATAATCAAGATCTATATTGTGATAAAACGGGTCTTACATCGCGAAATGCATCAAATCATGTGAGCACCTTGATTAAAAACATGAAAGGATTTGGAAAATATCTGCTGACAACGAATTGGCGATGCACATGCTTTGCAAATCCTGCAATCGATCGAAATCTGCACGACAGTTTATGAACCGGATTTCGATTTTGGTGCGCGATTTTGATTGGACTATGCATAGACTCATTAGTCCAGACAAAACGTAACTCCATAATACCAGCCTAGTTGGGCAAGGTGGAAACTGGACTTTTATAGTCAGTTAACTCCTTTGCCTCGGGAAGATGCAGACAAGTGGCTCAAGTCGCAGACTGGTGTAGATTAATTATGTCCGATAAAGCTGATTGAATAATTCATATCAGGTCATAACATCCACTCATTACTTGTTTCTGTATGTAAACTATTTGAAAAGGATATAATTGACATATAACTATGTATAGTTGCTGTAAAGATTTTCATTGATTGTTTTGTGCCAGGACTACCTCCAGAGGCGACAGGGATTTCCAGTAAAAATCCGATATCCAAGTGGCATGGATAAAACTCATCGCCGTAAAATCATGAGTTTTCTCTCAGACAATGGCTGGATAGGTGTCACGTGAGGTTGCCCGTAGCCTGCCTGTGGCAAGAAATTCAGTAAGGGAAGAGATTCAGAGACGCATCATGGGGACAGCAAGCAACAAAGGAGTCAAGGAAACTTGGAGCTGGGTCACCACACATGTGGGATGGTTCTGGGGGCCAATAAGACAGGGAGAGGCACTAGGAGTGCCGTATTTATTTCCTGATGGTGTGCAATGCCAAATTGATGCTTCCTATGTAGCCACAATGGTGTGTCTTCTCCAACACATGTCTGTTAAGTTAAAGTTCTTGTACAATCTGTATCTACTAGTGCAAAACCTGTTCCATGTATAAAAGGTCTGATTGTAATTTATTCCTTGTGCAAATCTTGTGTTTGGTTTGGCAAGTTTCAGCCATTTGTGTGTTAGCTTCTCGGATTATCATGTGTAGCTGTACATAAATGAGAGAGTGAGAAAGCAACGGGGATTGTCGTGCACGTGCCATTATCAGCATTTGCAAGCAAGGTGATCTCTCATGACAATGATTCATCAGCAGTGCAGGAATGTGTACCACATATCTGTTGGTTCCATCGTGGAATATTGATGGTAGTCCTATCACAGCATCTCAGGAACATCACCTCATGACGGGCCAAGTTGCCCTCATGCACACGAATGTGTACATTTAGGTTTTGTCATAAGCAATATGCATTGCTCATCATTTGTAATGATCATTGGAACCATTTTAATAATTAGCTCACTTGCCATAAAGGTCCTTGTCGGCGTATTTCTTTTTCGTTCACACAACTTTCACATTTACAGCTCTTGGTTTGTTACAGAACTGGTTGCTATGTACAAAATATCAGATTGTCATTCACATCTTGTCCATCCATTATTGGATCAGTGTGAGACTACACTCAGCAATGCATCCTGAAGACTGGTCGTCCGTGAGAAAATGATCCAAACGAACTTCACGTCAAGACTTCGATCATGGAATAATAATTTCATGTCATAAATCTGAATAGATGGACGACTTGGCTGATAAAAAAGTCAAGTTTGTTGTGGGTGATTTTACATCTGGTTGACCCATTTTAGTTTATCAAGTTCAGTTGTAAAATTATTTTATGTCTTTGTCTGATTTGGGTCACATTATGTACCTAATTTTAAGGCCGAACGTGAAATGGTGCTGCCAGTAATTCTGATTATTGTGTAAGTGATCCCGTTTTTATTACTAAAATAGGCCTGAGTCCTGTTTCCTTCCTGTAGCTCAAACATGATTAGGGCGATTTGCTGTGCAGAGTTGCGTCCCTTGGGCATGCCAGAAACCTATGATTGTGGGTTTCGAATCCCGGTTCGCCCCAATTATGGTTCTAGGTTTGTCAGCACCATACCCATGCTCGTGGGTTTCATCGAAGTGGTAAACGTCTGAGACCTGCATCACTTTGGGCATTACTCCCACATTAAGCTGACACGCCATGATATAACTGGAATACTGTTAAAAGCGGCGTTAAACCAAATTCACCCACTCACTCTGATTGGTTACTTCAGGGACACGGATTGGCTCCGGAGTGATAACTTTAACCAATATTGACTTGATGTTAACCAAATGCAAATAGACAGACCAGATAACCAGCTGAACTGTGCAGTATGAAGGAGATGAGAGGTCTGTGAGGCTTCAGGATGGTGTACTACTAATGGAGTGAGTGCAATCTGAAGATTGGACAGTCGGGACAGAAAGGACTTCTTGTTTTCTGTTTTCTTGTATTATTTCATGCTGAGTAGGATCTCGCATTGAAGCAGATTAACAGTTTGGTTAGAACTAACTTTGTTAGTTTTTAGCTCAATGCACTTGTCACAGCAAGATAACTATATTAAGTGTTGCACTTCCTGGATGAAAGCACATGATTTAACTCGTAGGCAAAATATTGTCTGCTTAGTCTTAGTCTAATGAAAGTCTTCAGTAAAGCATTATTGGAAACCCTAGAAATTAATGTGTTGTAGTATTTGTTTACTTTGTCCTACTCTCTTCTATTTATGAGATGCATAATGTTATTGTGAGAAATTGGAGAGAGACAACAGTTGTCCGTACGTACGTTCAGCTGGATGTGTGACTAGGAGTCGTGTGTGGAGCTCAATGCTGTCTATATGTTCCTGGGTATTGTGCTGTGTGTCATGTACAATGTGTTGCTGTAGCCACTGCTTCTCTAGTCCATGTTAGTGTAGAGGATAATGAATCTCTCCGTTGCCAGGCTCCAGGAGCCGCTAGGCGCCTGTCCCAAGTCTTCACTACACCGCTGCCCAGCCCTCCTGTCTTGTTGCTACTGGGCCCACTTGCACACAGCGATCTTAGCGCTAAGATGGTCGTAACTCCCATACTTTAACATAGGGTTACGATGGTCTTAGCGCTAAGATCGCTTTGTGCAAGTGGGTCCTGGACAGTAAGACCATGCCATTCTCACAACTGTGGTGTCAGAGAACTGGTGTAAATTCATCCTCCCCCTGCCTTCATTGTTAAATGCTCTTATGACCGCTGTGATTCGTATCAAGGAGTAGGGCAAGCACCAACTGTATAAACAGCAGCTGGGAAATCAAATTATATTTAGGTAGGTGTCAATTTCAATTTCTAACTAGACTACAATTTTTGAAATATCTGTCACTGACTGTTTAGTAGCATGTACTAATCTTAAAGATGTTCTTTGATTATGAGGTGTATATATAGGAATTATATTCCTCTTTATTTGTTCATGAATCTGAGAAACTCAGTTTTAAAGAATCAATTCAAGGAAATTTTAGATTAAGTGTTTGGGTTAGTACCTATCATTTAGATTAGATTTTATTCAGATTCAAGATTTTTAATCAAAATATCATTGTGCATCAAAAATGTCCCCCTGCTTCTATCTGATGTCATGGTGTGACACGAATCCCTGCTCTGCATGACACACCAGTGTGGGTAACCTTGGCATTGGTGTGACGACACTTAGCAGAAGACGCAAAGATTGACTTGTGTGTGACCAACCCAGCTGTATGTGTAGCGGGTGTCCGCTGAATGAATGTTGTATGAGATGTATCAGAGTGTGATAGCACCACCCCACTATCCACTGTGTCAGTCTGTCTGTGTGTACGTACATACCATATATACATTCAGAATGACGTACAATGTATGTCATCTGGTATTACCCTCCTGCTCTACACCCACTGTATACAAGTGCGATGAGGGGAATAAAATCTTTAATCTTACTCCTTGTGTATGTCATTTATCAAGTCAGTCACAACTGTAAGGATTGTTTCAGTGTATACAGCACTTTCATTTGGATAAGTTCACTTTGCAACAGTGCCGGATGACCAAACCCACGATTATTACCAGCGAGACATCTTGGATCATGCTGCTGTACCTCTTTATGACGACCACATCTCAGCATCTCAAGTGTTAAATGGCCTCAACAACATGATGATGATGTAACATTTCTGCAGCATAATAAAACACAAATTCCTTGTACTCTACACAGTCCAGATTCAACCCTTTTAAACTTGTTTGGGTCATTTTGGACCACAAAATCCTTCAAAGACAACTCCCAATGCAACAATACAGGGTACAGTGCATTGTCAGTTATCAAGTGAATCATTATTCCATTCTATACTAAAATCTGGGTGGAATAGGTCTTCAGCAACCCATGCTTGTCGTAAAAGGCGACTATGCTTGTCGTAAGAGGCGACTAACGGGATTGAGTGGTCAGGCTTTCTGACTTGGTTGATGCATGTCATCATCCCAATTGCGTGGATCAATGCTCATATCAATCACTGCGTTGTCTGGTCCAGATTCGATTATTTACAGACCAGCGTCATAGAGCTGGAATATTGCTGAGTGCAGCGTAAAACAACCAACCAACCAATCCATTCTATACTCATTGGTGTACATAACGTTGAAACTGGGGTAATAGTCGCAGGTGACGTCATGTTTTCCGATTAGTCCTGATTCACTTTGCACTTCCTTGATAGGCATCGTTGTGTCTGGTGATGTTGAAACGATCGTCAAGCTAATGTCAACCCGAGACCTCATGAAGGTTGTGGCAATGGATCTGTTTTTCTGTGGGGTGACACCGAACCCCACTCCATATTGTGCAAGGAAGGGTCACTGGACAGTACTATTGGGACAACATTCTGACACCCTTTGTTGTCTCGTTTGCAAGGGATCTTTCGTCTTTCAGGACCACAACGCCTGTGCTCATGCATGAATCGTCAATGCTCACATCCAGCAGCCCAACATCCATAGAATGGCCAGCAATGAGCCCAGACCAATCCCCCATTGAACATGTCTGGAACGTGTGCGACGTCATAGGTCGCCGACCACGATGGCTGAACTTGGCAAGGTGCTGCAAGAGGAGTGGGACAGACTCCCTTAAATCTCCACTGGGAGACTCTTACGCAGTATGCCTTGTCATGTGAATGAATGTTTGACAAATCGTGGCAGTATTACGTACTACTGATCCAAAAACCTCAACTTTGAAATTGCCCATATTACCCCCATCATCCTTCAAGATCGTTGGCCGTCATACAATCTACCGTCATGCTTCACCTCCAGTTGTAGTGTGTTCCCAATTCGTTCATTATTATCATACAACTATTACTAAAGTTATATCCCTGTATCCCCTACTTTTTTAAAGAGTATGTTATGATATATGCCTTTGACCTCTTCACCACCTTGTTTTTAGTCCGGTTAGTGCAGTGAAAGTGACAACGCTAAATGTAGGCGTACAGTCAGATTATACTGTTCTTTCAGGTTTGACATGAGCGGTGGTATTACCAGTACCTCTTCCATCCCCTGCTTAATACTTATGAAAACCACTTTTTTTCTGCAAAAAATCACGTTCTGGAGAGGCATGTTGATTGGTTGTTGATTTTGATCTTAGGAGTGAGAAATTGTCACTGTTAAAAAGACAAGAATCTATACCTCTCAGTTGATTTCATCATGTTTGGTTTTCAGTTGAAAATATGTAAGTTAGAGATATTATATTAAAACAATGGACTAGACTGGTGCTAAGTCAGCATTCAAAGAATACTTCTATATGTTGTTTTTTTTAAAATATGTTTCATTTAAAATCAATAAATTTGCAACATTTCAAATATTGTAGGGGTCATTTGGTCGCAAATTCATTTCTTTCCCAAGTTTTCATTTAATCTATATATTTTTCACAAGATTACCCTGCCACAGATTACTTTTTATAAACTGTTCCAGGAAAGCCACATTTTACTTTTTACAAAATGTTGCAGGAATATGTGATGGTTAAATAGACAATCAAATTTAACAACAGTTCTTTCAATTTTCAATTATGTTACACAAGAAAACAAACTTGGTATACTTTCTTTTGCCCCCAAATAAATGAGGCGTTGCAATTATCTGTGTTGTGTCCCTTGGGCATGCCAGGAACCTATGACTCTCTTCGAATCCCAGTTTGTTTCCATGTTTGTCAGCTCTATACCCGTGCTCGTGGGTTTTTACCAAAGTGGTGGACTGCCTCCGTGGTCTTGTGGTAGAGCGCTGCCCGGACAGCGGAAGGTCAGGGGTTCGATCCCCGGCCGTGTCATACCAAAAGACGTTCAAAGATGGTACTTGTTGTTACCCTGTCTTGCGCTCAGCATTAGGGGCTAAAACAAGGACTGGTCGGCTCGGAGTCAGTATACTGTGTCTGAGTGGGGTATTCATGTTAAACTGTGGCATGGTATCTCAGTGTGCTAGCACTATAAATCGGCATCAGTCCGGACTAGTCCAAGCAGCCCCCCCCCCCACACACACACACACATGTGTACATGCACCTCGCTATAAAAGTGTAATAATCTTGGAAGAGACGTTAAACCCAATTTCACCTCACCTCAGTGGTAAACATCTGGAACCTGGGCTATACTCTTGCATTAAGCTGATGTAAACATGGAATAATCTTCAAAGCGGCGTTAAAACCAACTCACCCCAAGGAAGAGTTATGTTGAGAGCCACTTTCAACTGGGGGGCACGGGGGGCCCAGTCGTCTGAGGCGCCGCGATTCACTGTGCAGAGTTTCGTCCCTTGGGCACGCCAGAAACCTATGATTGTGGGTTAGAATCCCAGTTCACCCCGATTATGTTTCTAGGTTTGTCAGCACCATACCCGTGCTCGTGGGTTTCACCGAAGTGGTAAACGTCTGAGGCCTGCATCACTTCAGGCTTTCCTCCCACATTAAGCTGACACGCCATGATATGACTGGAATACTGTTAAAAGCGGCGTTAAACCCAACTCACTCACCCACTCACACACCACTTTCAACTGGGCAAGCTGGGGGGCGTATGGAGTCTACATCCAATGGGCAATGTGTGCAATAAAAGACAAGACAACAAATAAGAAATGGAAGATATTTACTTGCAGCGACAACAAATCTAAGAGACCAACATCTATATATAAAGTGAGTAAAAACAGTATAAATACAGCTTGTTTCAAAATAAACATATCTACGTCCGCACTCAGTATTCTGTAGATGTAAGTGCAGAACTGTTGGCAGTCATCGACACATGCATGCAAAAAGCCAGACTGGCTTTCAGACATATTGGACTAACCATTGGGTAATTGAATAGGGAATTTGTCAGTTAGTATTGATAAGCACTAAACTTTTGCTCAAAATCTTTTGGCCATTGTTTAGTGGAACAGTTTGGAAAGCAGAAACTTGAAAAATTTACAAAATGTGAGAATTCTGGGTCTTTTCTCCCAGAATGAACACAAATGGGATCAATGATTAGATGTAACTTTCAATCTTAACTGGATATAAAGCATATTGCCAGCTAATTGTGAACAACATTATTTGGTGGGGCTGACGTTCACACTATTTATATGAGAATAATGTTATTTTTAATATGTCTAAACTTGTACGTCTTGGATAAACAGTAACAGTCTTCAGAGCAATAGATGTAATGATGCCACAGACATTGTATAGATCACGGCTGTCTAACTACAGGTGCAGTCTGAACATCTTTGGTGTTATGTATATGTAAATTATTGAGAGGATAGCATGCTTATTCAGGATAGTGATGACTATCATGATGCATTCAACAGATGGACGTGTGAAGATGGGGACTCCGCCCATCAGAGTGAGTGAGTGGGGTTTTACGCCGTTTTTAGCAATATTTCAGCAATGTCACGGCGGCGGACACCAGAAATGGGCCTTACACATTGTACCCATGTCGGGAATAGAACCCGGATCTTCGGCGTGACGAGCAAACGCTTTAACCACTAGGCTACCCGACCGCCCACCACACATCAGAATGGACACCCACACACTTTTACAGTACACATGCATTTCACATCCCCGATGCAGGCGTCTCATCCTTCAGGCATAGCTTTCATCTACCAGGTATGTCCCATTTGCCAACTAGGAGTGAAGGAGCAAGCATTATATTTTCGGGGAATTTTACATATGCCTCACATTGTTGGGAAAAAATGGTGTGCCCTTTTCTTCTAACCTTTAAGATGACTATATTAAAGTATACAAAGTATAAAGTTTGTTATTTTTATTTATTTTACCAAAAAATAAATTATAGCACCTGTTTATGTTACAAGAAATAATGGAGCTCTGAACATTCAAATATCAATGCTTATCTCAAAGCAAACACCCATGTCTTTGCCCCTCCCTGAAAGTGAAATGGTTGCTCCCTTAGGCTTAAAAAAAAAAAATTGGTTCTCAGGCAGTGGCTTTTGAAAATATAGTACGGGTGGGCGGTGATTTTTTAATTTGTTGTTGGTTGTTCAAACTAGTATGTAATCAAATAAACAGCTGTGTCACCAAATAAACAGTTGTGTTCAATCAACCTGGGAAAGGGCCTCCCTACATAAATGTATTCCTTGATGAGTAAAATACTGGAATACAGTATTGGACTACCATTGGACTTGGAATATTAAAAGATTTTTTGTTTTTTTCTAAAATGGAAATAAAAAACGAAATGTGAGGCAAACTTTATGATGATGCAGGCATGCCTGAGAACCAAGACTATTATTTTTTTTAGCCTTAAGGAGGTCAGGTCCAATTATTGAGGCTAATATTGGTAGCCTTGGTTGATTAGCATGTATAAAACAAACTTTGGTGATCTAAAAAAGCAAGAGATCTATTTAATGGGCTTTTTGGAAAGATGATCATGTTGAATTCCGTGGTACAACGTTTGCAGTAAATTAATATGTACACTTCAGCACTCCTGATTGGTAGAAATGATGCTAGAGGTAGAAGGCTATACAATGACAGTTCCCTGTATTGTCAACACCTTGGACAAGCAGACAAGTATCCACTTCATCCAAATCCAGGATGTTTGGGGTGAGCAACATTAAACAATCTTCTCTGGCACATGGCACATTATATGTTAAATGGTTTATATACTACTAAAAAATATTAGGACCAATCGAATCTTTCATGTTAGTGTAGTTAATCTGTCATGGCAGATATAGCATAGATATAGCATGACTGATTAAATACAGTAATATGAGCAAGTGAGTCAGTCGTTCATGCTGCTTTTAGCAAAATTCCAGCATTATCACAGCAGGGGACACAAGAAATGGGCTTCACACATTGTACCCATGTGGGGAATCAAACCCGGGTCTTCAGCGACACTTCAACCACTAGGCTACCCCAGCGCCCATAGTAATATGAAAGAATCAGGTTGTCCTTAACTTTTTGGAGTAGTATAGATGCATGTTGATCTGGATGGTCGCTAAACAGTTGTCTTGTATGGATTGGGTAAATGCAGTCACGTAAGTCGATGTACACATTGCAGTTGTTCATGTCAAATGTACACCTGTTAGAAATTGGATCTAGCACCAGTATGTCTGGGTTTGTCTAGGTACTCTCTATTCACAAGTCCTGTTGTGTGGGGAAACAAATAACAATGAACATATCAGAGGACTAATAGTGAGTGAGTTGGGTTTAACGCCGCTTTTAACAGTATTCCAGTTATATCACGGCATGTCAGCTTAATGTGGGAGGAAAGCCCGAAGTGATGCAGGTCTCAGACGTTTACCACTTCGGTGAAACCCACGAACACGGTATGGTGCTGACACACCTGGGGCGAACCGGGATTCGAACCCACAGTCATCGGCAGAGGACTAATAACAATGGATTAATCAGAAAACAGAATGGGTGAAAGTCATCACATGTGTATTATGTTAAACAATGGAGGAGCACAAGCAGCTAGGCTGATGAGGTGTTTTGTAAAGAGACACGAAGAGTTCCTGAGAGGAGGCCAGTCCAAGAGAAGAGACTACAATACTGCACTCTGTCATACCATCAAATCTAAAACATCACTTCATTTACTGAGAGGATGGATATTTTCAGGCTTTCGGTTACATCCCACACATTCACGCTGTCACTGCTGAACTGGTAAACTGAGAAAAAAACGAGTTCAGACATGACAGATTAACTATAGTCATATAAAAAAATCGGGTGTTCTTTAACTTGTGTAGTATGCACATTTGTCAACACTGCTAGTGATTAGAGTTGAGAGGTACACATTCTATATTCAGTCCATTATAAACACTCAGATTCTGTACAAGCCAATAGTCGCAATTTATTATGTTCTCTCTTTAAAAGACTTGACATATTACACTTAAGGTGTCAAGACATTTTGCTATGCTGTATGACCAAACCACCACTTGATCACTCATACACATCAGGGGTACTTCTGGTGCTGTGCATATCTCGGCACCACGTTTGTAGTTGGCCATCTTGTGTCTTGTGGTAGCAGCTTAACCTCTTGTATGTTCCATTGAAGAGCATCATCTAACTCTATGGTCATCGAGCAAACTCAGCGGAAACGCTGATGTTTGCATGATGCACAACACATTTTAGAGAATCTTCTGTGTCCACACAATCTGGCTGTCCGGATCATCTTGCACTTCATCATCGGGAGTTTATCTTCACAAACTCCTGAATTTTCTGAAACAGAGACAACTCATGTCTTAACTACGTGTTCATGAAGGAAAGGCAGTGATGTCTTGATATCATCTTATAACTAAGAAACTAGGCTGGAAGATTTGTTGTTGTCATCATGTCAACCTAGGACAAAATATCCCATGATTACCTGGGACAAGGGTTGATGAATGTGGGGGTTGAGGGGGATGAATGTGGTGGTTGAGGGGGATGAATGTGGTGGTTGATGAATGTGGGGGTTGGTGAATGTGGGGTTTGATGAAAGTTAGGGTTGATGAATGTGGGGGTTGATGAATGTGAGGGTTGATGAATGTGAGGGCTGATGAATGTGGGGGTTGATGAATGTGGGGTTGATGAATGTGGGGGTTGGTGAATGTGGGGGTTGGTGAATGTGGGGGTTGGTGAATGGTGGGTTGATGAATGTGGGGTTTGATGAATGTGGGGGTTGGTGAATTTGGGGGTTGTTGAATGTGGGGGTTGATGAAAGTTGGGGTTGATGAATGTGGGGGTTGATGAATGTGGGGGTTGATAAAAGTTAGGGTTGATGAATGGGGGGGTTGATGAATGTGGGGGTTGGTGAATGTGGGGGTTGATGAATGTGGGGGTTGGTGAATGTGGGGGTTGGTGAATGTGGGGGTTGGTGAATGTGGGGTTTGATGAATGTGGGGGTTGATGAATGTGGAGGCTGATGAATGTGGGGGTTGATGAATGTGGGGGTTGATGAAAGTTTGGGTTGATGAATTTGGGGGTTGATGAATGTGGGGGTTGATGAATGTGGGGGTTGATGAATGTGGGGTTGATGAATGTGGTGGTTGATGAATGTTGGGTTGATGAATGTGGTGGTTGATGAATGTGGGGGTTGAAAAAAGTTAGGGTTGATGAATGTGGAGGTTGATGAATGTGGGGTTGATGAATGTGGGGGGGGTGATGAATGTGGGGGTTGAAAAAAGTTAGGGTTGATGAATGTGGAGGTTGATGAATGTGGGGTTGATGAATGTGGGGGTTGATGAATGTGGGGGTTGATGAATGTTGAGGTTGAGGTAGGCTGCTCACTAGGAGTCAGAGGGGGCAGTGAGCCACTTTTCACTCTCACAGGCAGATAATGGTCCATCAGAACAATTTCCTCGCACTCATAGTATTAAAAAAGACAAACAGATCCTCATGCAGTAGGTAGTAGGTAAAAGGTTTTGAACTGTTATCAGTGGTGATAGGGTCAAATTTGGCATGCCTATTAAATAGCTTGATCAAACTGTAGAAACTAATTTGTAGTTTGTAAGGATTTAGGTAGGAGACGAACTTCAACCTGCATGTCATTGTTCAGTAAAAGCATTGTCACATGCACACTTTCTGTGAAAAGCATTGTCGAGGCACTGACTCTCGCTAATTGAGGAAAGAATTGGCATGTTAAGATTCATTCAACTGGCAGTTATTCCAACATGCATTGAAACGAATGACATTACTTGTAATCCGGATGAGATTCCTGCAAAACAAACCTCCTTGTGCTGCTTGGTACTTACGCTGCATCACTACTTGCACTATGGTGACCGCACTCGCCTCCTCTCGCGAGTTTTTCACCACACACGTATATATTCCAGAATCGTCAATAGTAGCACTACGTATTACCAACTCTCGACCACTTATTGAGATTTTATTGTCGCTAGTGAGTTCCTTTCCATCCCTCTCCCAGTGAATTGTGGGTCTGGGATAGCCACTTCCTGTACATCGTAAACGGACAGTTCCTCCCTCCATCACCTTCCCTTTGTATGGATCCAGTTTGGCTCTAACACGTTCTAGGTAATGAAAACACAGTCAAAAATCCCAAACAAGAATGAAATAATGACAAAGCTTCCTTCATGCATGCTCTTGAACTGCTAGTGACATGCAGCAACTCAACTACAGTCTGCTAATGTTAAATGTAAGTTCAGAGGAAAGATGCAAAACATTTCTTAAAATGTTAGGAGTGATAAGTCTTTCAACATTCTCAAAAACATCCTAGTGTGAAAACGTCTCAAATACTTAAGGCTTTGGAAATATTGTAACTGTTATCGAAATTTTCAAAAAACTGAAGATGAACAATCAAGTGACCGAAAGCTCATTAGACGTTGAATGCATACCTCTAATTAAGAGTTGTACTTGTTTCTTGGCCATGGTGGACACCCCGTTCTCTGCCTGGCACTCGTACTGCCCGGCGTCATAGTCCTGGGTCTGCATGATTATCAGGGTGCCATTTTCAAAGGCCCTGAAGTGGCCCGTGCTCATCACAGGGCGGCCATTCTTCAACCATGTGATGGTTGGTGTTGGTTGGCCATACACCTGGCAGTGCAGGAAGGCATTGTCTCCGGGCCTTATCTTGATGACCTTTGGAGATGGCAGGATTCGCAGAGGCACTGCAATGACGTTTTATTTGTTTGTTGTTTAACAATTCAATCAGCAATATGATGCCAGTCTGGAAATAATCAAGTCTGGACCAGACAAATCAGTGGTTAATGTCATGAGCATCAATCTACGCAACTGGGATATGAAGACATGAATAAAAAAAGTCAGCAAGTCTGAATACCCATTCCAACCAGTCGCCTCTTATGACAAGCATGGGTTGCTGAAGACCAATTGTAACCCTGATGTAGCCACTGCAATATAGAAAAGTGGGCATTAAGGGCAGATAGTCCTACATGTAGGATAGAGTGAGTGAGTTGGGTTTAACGCAGTATTCCAGTTATATCGCGGCGTGTCAGCTTAATGTGGGAGGAAAGCCCAAAGTGATGCAGGTCTGAGACGTTTACCACTTCGGTGAAACCCACGAGCATGGGTATGGTGCTGACAAACCTAGAAACATAATTTGAGCGAATCGGGATTCGAACCCACAATCATAGGTTTCTGGCGTGCCCAAGGAACGCAACTCTGCACAGCGAATCGCAGCGCCTTAGACGACTGGGCCACTCGTGCCCCCTAGTAGGATAGAAGAAGATGCAGGGAGATAGAAGTGAGTGAAAGGAAATGGGGGATTTAGTTCCTCCTTATTTCCACTGCTCAGTTGAATACTGAACCAAGGGCCTCACCTCGGACTTGCACATTATATCTTTCAATCTGTGGTACGTCATTCCCTCGGGCAACCTGGCAGCTGTATATTCCAGTGTCGTCTTCTTTGATGTTCTTGATCCACAGGGAGCCATTGTTGAAGAGGGTGAACCTGTAGCCAGTCTGAACCACAAACCTACCAGACAGAGAGCATAATCAGTTTCCTGTAGCCAGTCTGAACCACAAACCTACCAGACAGAGAGCATAATCAGTTTCCTGTAGCCAGTCTGAACCACAAACCTACCAGACAGAGGGCATAATCATTTTCCTGTAGCCAGTCTGAACCACAAACCTACCAGACAGAAAGCACAATCATTCTTATTTCAGAACAATATTTTAGCATAATCTGTACAGTGATTTAAACGGACCATTCGCTATACGGCTATTTGCTTTCGTCCTTGAAATAAGAGAAACATTCTGCAGTGACTCCATTAGGATGTTCTTGGTGTAGCGGCCATAAAAGTCCAGTGATGGGATTCGAACCACGGACCTTCTGATCAGAGGTCGGACGCCTTGTACACATGAAAAAGAGGTTAACCCCATCAGCAAGCTGACAAGGTAAGGATGTCATCTGTGGGATGACTCCACGCCCAGCTACATACTCCCCCATCAACAGAAGGCACGTCCCTGGCCGCATAGTAGGGTACTGAGGCTTATTTTGCTCAAACTTAATATGAACGTGCTCAGCCCCACGTTGGGCCCTAATTTAGCGGCCATAAAATTTCCGAGTCCTGTGATGGGATTCGAACCACTGACCTTCTGATCAGAGGTCGGACGCCTTGTCCACATGACCAAAGAGGTTAACCCCGTCAGCAAGCTGACAAGGTAAGGATGTCATCTGTGGGATGACTCCACGCCCTGCTACATTGGCATCATACCTGTCTCTGTACCACGTGACTATGTCTCGATCCGTGCGATGTATCCGACAGTTTATGAGGACATCCTTATCAGGGCGTACTAGAATCTCATAGTCCTCGCCTTTCCGTCGCTCAATAACATTTGGACCATCTGAAATAAGTGTCAGAATTACTAAATAGAAACACAATTAAGTTACCGTATTCGACGTAATAAGCGCCCAGGGCACTCTCAAAATTAGAAATAGGGGGCTCTTATTAGAATATTATTTTGGTGAAAAAAACAGAGTTGAAAGATAAATTTTGTGGTTTATGCTGACAGCCTGAAATGTTTATGTACAACAGATATATTTTTCCAGATTTTAACTGCCCATAATTAAGGGTGCATATAACACACGATTGCGTATTATACACGAATAAATAAGTCTTGTGTACATTGATCAATTGGAAAGAGTGCTAATTGGGATTGTTCACTAGCTAATATGTTAGCAATTATCGCCATGGGCGCTTAAAAGGGCGGGGCGCTTATTACGTCGAATACGGTATGCTACAATCCAGCTCTGAAAGTATACCACTTGAAAGAAGTTAAGGATGACAAATACTTTTATATCATTATAGTTATCCGTCATGGGTGGTCCTTAACTTCTTTTGAGTAGTATATATGATCTACGGTTCTATGATGACCATGTGCATGGAAGTTGTACGGTATATGAACTTTTGTCCAGATTTAAGTTGGATGCTAGAAACACTGACCATCACAGTTGCTGTGGTACTCGTCTTCTGCTGTGGTGTAGCCATCTTTACAACAACCATACGCTGAATGGCGGCAGTTGAGAGGGGCGGCAGTTGTTAACAGCGCAGGATATGGTGTGGTCTTCACTGCAAGGAAGCCCACATAACGCTGGTGAGACATCAACAGACCCGACACTTACACACCAGCTACACGGCTAGCGCACAGGTAATGTACAGTTATACACAGATTTCATATCTTATTGATAATGAATGAATATTGTTTGAACACTGCACTCAGCAATATTTCCACTTTCTCACAATGGCCAGAAAAGTAGACACAATCCAGTGAGTGATATCAGGTTATGTTCCATGACAATGCGGTGTAATATGCAATCAACCAAGTCATCGAGTGTGATCACATAAGAGAGTGAGTGAGTATGGTTTTACGCCGTTTTTAGCAATATTCCAGCAATATCACGGCGGGGGACACCAGAAATGGGCTTCACACATTGTACCCATATCGGGAATCAAACCCGGTCTTCGGCGTGACGAGCGAATGCTTTAACCACTAGGCTACCTGACCACTCCTCAAACCAATTAAGTTACCTCAAACAACAAACCTAACTGGTTAAACTGGAAACTCCACAGGGAAAATCATTGATAAAAAGTTGTTGATTATTATATTTGTAGGTCCATCTTGAACATTGAATTAGGACAAGTACTAAGCTCCCTTCTCAATCAACTGGCGGTAGTCATACTCCGCATATATATGTTCAATTTACCAGTGTTTAAAACTGATCCATATATTTTGCTATGAGAATATATTAACGATAATAAGTATGCTGACTTAAAGTGAAAGCAACAGTGTAAAAACACAAAACATAAACAGTACTGATACCTGTAATTATTTTGTCATTTCATCTATCAGAATAATTTTCATTGAGTTTCGGTCTGCTGTGTCAGAGGATAATATTATGTCTTGGCTGATATCCCTATATGCTACTCAAAAGAAGTTAAAGAACACCCGATTCTCTCATATTACTATGGTTAATCTGTCATGGCTAGAGTAATATGAAAGAATCGGTAGTTCTTTAATTTCTTTTGGGTAGTTCTATATCTGCCTTTTGAAAAGACTTGGTTAGTCACAAAGGACATAAAGATTAGAATAAAGGCTTCCCAGGTGGCTGTTCTGTGATCAGTGTGAGAGTGTTCAATCTCATAAACATCAGATCTTAGTTCTCACTGTCGCTAAACAAAGATCTGAGGACATCCCATTACGGGGCATGTCAGAACGACCTTTCATCTGACCAATCAAAGCGTCACCTACCAGATCATGAGAGTGACAGTCAGATTTTCTAATCATGCAACCTCGAAAACATTAACACGGGGTATTCCAAACGACAGTTACGACCCATACAACTGATTCCATCAAAATTATCATCTATCTCTCGCTTCCGCGGGATTTGAATGAAGGAGGCGTTGGACAGTACGACAAATTGTAAGCACTACTATACAATCGCAACCATATATTAGACATTACAAAATTTTCGTTTGTTCAGTTTTCAAAATTTTAATCAAGAACTGTGTCAACATATTTTTCAAGCGTAGTCTGAAATGAAAGTCGCCAGGTTTCAACAAGTGCTGTAAAGCTCGAGACAGCTGCATTCTCATTGGCTGATAACGACTTCTTGTTATTCGTTTCAGTGGTCGGTCAAATTTCGCGAAAGGTCGTTCTGACGTGACCAGTAATGGGATGTCCTCAGATCTTTGGTTAGTGGAAGCGAGAACTGAGATCTGATTTTAATGAGATTGGAGAGTGTTAAACGATGACTCTGTACTTAAAGCAGACTTCTACTATTCATGCTGTTATCAGTACATCCCATCATGCTGACAGTGGGTAGACGTACTGGATGCACAGAACATGGATGCCACAGCTTCATCAACCTGTTCTGTAGCCAGGCACATCCTGCATAGAGCTTACCTGGCATTGTCTCCAATATATATCTTACATGTGTGATAACATGCACTGTACAAAATCCTTTAAATAGTAGACTCAAGTAGAGCAATAGACAGAGAAAAGTACATTATTCCAGACTAGAACACACTGGGGCTGTATATGAGAATGTTTACATGGAGACATCACATAAAGATGAAGGGATGTAATATGAAAGAAATTCTTATGAGGGTCCGGATGGGGTAGTGTAAAGATGTTTAGTGTAAAAAAACAAAACTATCATAAACACATTTTTGTCGTAAAAGATTAACATAAAAGCCATTAAAAATCCAGCTTAGTGTTAACTTTAATGTATATTGTATTCGTGCTAACAATCTTGTAAAAGTTGGATACTACTCAAAAGAAGTTAAGGATCACCTGATTCTTTCATATTACTATAGTTAATCTCTCATGTCATGACAGATTAACTTTACCATCATGAAAGAATCGGGTGATCCTTAACGTCTTTTGAGTAGTATATAAGTATGACACTACAAAAATGGCTAAAGGCCCCAAAGTTAACTGACTACTGACCTCCCCCATCAGGACCCTCTGTTATGGACAATAGATACTTTGAAACATCATCCAACATCTTTAGTTACATTTGTTGATGTTACCATGGTTACCATTAATCAATTCTATACTCTTGTACTGTGAACTTTCAGCAAGAAACAACCATGCATCAAAATCAAAATTCCAAACTAAAAACTTCTCAATAAATCTGTGAGGAGATGCAGGACAAACTAGGCTACAGCTATCTGCTAACAAATATTCTCCTACCGAGGGAGTCATGTGACAAGTGAAGGAAGACACTGTAAGACACTGTAAGACACTGTAAGGGGGACTAGTCTAGTAAGGCACAGGTTTGAGGTCCGACTATATACGTGAGGACACAGAGTAAGTCAGGATATAGGTGTCTAACCATGCAGGATATACCTTGCCTTCCATAGACACACCGAGACTGGCAGTCTGGTCGATTGTCAAAGCGGTTTTCATTTCCGCCACACCCACCATAATAAAAGCGAGTGCATACACCTCTCTCAGAATCATAGTACCACTTGATTTCATAATCTGAGGGATCGTTACTATTGTCACAGCGAGCGCTATCTGGTCGTTGGTCACACAGAGCTGACACTAGAGAAACAATGACAGGGATATTAATACAGCATTTCATATCTTTTATGATGTTACGCTACAATCTCATTAAAATCAGATCTTAGTTCTCACAATCGCTAAACAAAGATCCGAGGACATCCCATTACGGGTCATGTCAGACCAACCTTGCGCGAATTTTGACCGACCATTGGAATGACCAATCAGAAGGCAGCTTTCTCGTGCTTTACGGCACAAATTTCAAATTGGCGACTATGCTTTGAAATTTGTTGACAAATTCTTGATTACAAATTTGAAACCTGAACGAGAAAACTTTCTGGAATGGCTAATCGATGGTCTAGATTGTAAGGATTAAAGTCGTTAAACCCGTAACTATCGTTCGGAATAACCCATGTTAAAGTTTTCGAGATTGCATGATTAGAAATCACATTCCGACTGTCAATTCCATAATCTGGTAAGCGACGCACTGATTGGTCGGATGAAAGGTCGTTCTGACGTGACCCTTAATGGGATGTTTTCAGATCTTTGTTTAGCGGTAGCGAGAACTGAGGTCTGATTTTAATGAGATTGGTTAAGCTACTGAATGTCGGGCCTAAATATCTAAAGGCAAGAATACAGTGAGACCATGTGAATGAAACCTCAAGTACTCAAGTCTGCTGAGAACGATTCCATACTACTTCCATACTTATTCATTATTTTGGTCAAGTTAAGATATCAGGAAGTGTGATATGTACACATCCCTATGCAACTATGACCTTACAAGGTCAGTGACACAAACTGAAGATATCTGATGATACATCACAAGCCTTCTGATCATTGCAAGGTGATAACATGACGTAGCACATGGAGATGGTGTTCAGCAACTGATTGTTACAAGTAATTAGTTTCTTAAAGACAACCCTTAATTTTGTAGTCATTATGCTGATATCGTCATATGAGTGAGTGAGTTGGGTTTAACGCCGCTTTTAACAGTGTTCCAGTTATATCCAGCGTGTCAGCTCAATGTGGGAGGAAAGCCCGAAGTGATGCAGGTCTCAGACATTTATGGTGCTGACAAACCTAGAAACAATTGGGGTGAACCGGGATTCTAACCCACAATCATAGGTTTCTGGCGTGCCCAAGGGACACAACTCTGCACAGCGAATCGCAGCGCCTTAGACGACTGGGCCACCCGTGCCTCCCCTCATTTGAGAAAACTGATGGGGGCTGCTATTTTTTCACTGTGAGCAAGGCATCATATACCATGCTTCCTTTTGAAGTGGCTGGGACAGGGTTTCCCCCTTCCTTACCTATATCACTACCATGGCTGACACACTGTTGTACAAAATTGGTAGAAATACCATATTTGACGTAATAAGCGCCCAGGGCGCTCTCAAAAATATAAATAGGGGGCTCTTATGAGAATATTATTTTGGTGGAAAAATCAGAGTTGAAAGATAAATTTCGTGGTTTATGCTGAAAGCCTGAACTGTTTATATACGACAGATATATTGTTCCTGAAATTAATGCCCATAATTTAGGGTGTATATAACACACGCGTGTACATTGATCAATCGGAAGGGGTGCTAATTGGGATTGTTCACTTGCCAATATATAAGCAAATATTGCCGTGGGTGCTTATTAGAGCGGGGCGCTAATTACGTCGAATACGGTATTGCAAAATATAAAAAATTATATCAAATTTCAAAATGCTCTAACCAAATTGCCCAACACCATATGCAGTAAAGATCTACAGAAGGGTTACTTTACCTTTGACTCTGGGTGCCGGAGTTGTAGTGGTTGTGAGTACAACCGGGGCCAGTGTTCCAGGATGTCCCTCACAGGCGGCCTGGCATTCTGCCTCAGACCCAAACCTGTTGCCATTGCCAGCACAGCCGGTGTAGATGAACCTGTTACACCTTGACCTGCTGGTGTCATAGTACCACAGGATGTCGTAGCCGTCACAGGTGCCTCCTGCACGGGGGAGGCTGCAGACGTCGCCGCTCATGCTGCGGTCCGGGCTGCGGGACCTGCATCTACGCTCACAGCTCTCTTTAGATTCAAAGTTATTGGGGTTGCCCGAACAGCCACCGTAATTGAATTCCTGACACTCGTTAGAGGTACTGTCGTAGGCCCATCTCGCAATCAGTGCTCTGCACGGTCCTGTCTCGTAGGGCAGTATACAGATTTCTGAAAATAGGACAAAAGGTTCAATAGATAAAAATTGAAATAAAAAATGTAATTTTAGTTTATGTCACTTAGGAACTGAATTACAACACATTATGCCGATATTGTCCAATCTGTAGTGAGTGAGTGAGTTGGGTTTTACGCCGCTTTTAACAGTATTCCAGTTATATCACGGTGTGTCAGCTTAATGTGGGAGGAAAGCCCGAAGTGATGCAGGTCTCAGACGTTTACCACTTCGGTGAAACCCACGAGCATGGGTATGGTCCTGACAAGCCTAGAAACATAATCAGGGTGAACGGGGATTCGAACCCACAATCATAGGTTTCTGGCGTGCCCAAGGGACGCAACTCTGCACAGTGAATCGAGGCGCCTTAGACGACTGGGCCACCCGTGCCCCCTCCAATCTATAAGTCAAGGTCCTGTATCCAGAATGGCCTCTACAATATTTCAGTAACATCACTGACATCAGACATTTAATGAGGATGTTCACTGAACATTTAGACAGGACTTTAGCAGATGTTAGTGTGGCCTACCATATTCGGCGTAATAAGCACCCAGGGCGCTCTCAAAATTAGAAATATGGGGCTCTTATTAGAATATTATTTTGTCGGAAAAAACAGAGTTGAAAGATATATTTTGTGGTTTATGCTGACAGCCTGAAATGTTTATATACGAGAGATATATTGTTCCAGAATTTAATTGCCCATTATTGAGGGTGCATATAACACAAGAGTTTGTATTATACGCGAATAAATAAGTATTGTGTACGTTGATCAATCGGAAAGGAGGCTAATTGGGATTGTTCACGAGCCAATATATTAGCAAATATCGCCGTGTACGGTATTTTGGTTGGTTGCTGAGCACAGACAATGCTGTCTAGAAAGGTGCATAGTTTACCTTGTGGTCTGCAAAACGTGTCACATTCCTCCTTGGTGTTGAAGTTATTTTCATTGCCGTTACAGCCGCCGTATGAAAACTCCCGACACACACCACTGCTGTAGTCGTAGTACCACTTGGGTATGCTGGCATAGCACTGGCCGGCCTTTGCCTCCTGGATGCACACATCTAGCGCAGAGAAAGCAGCATCAGAGCACAGCAGGGTACAACGGGTCAAAGGGCACGGTGGTACAATGGGTCAATAGAGCATGATGGTACAACGGATCGATAGGGCACGATGGTACAACGGATCGATAGGGCACGATGGTACAACGGGTCGATAGGGCATGACAGTATAATGGGTCGATAGGGCACGGTGGTACAACAGGTCAATAGAGCATGATGGTACAACGGGTCGATAGGGCACGATGGTACAATGGGTCGATAGGGCATGACGGTATAATGGGTCGAGAGGGTACGATGGTACAACGGGTTGATAGGGCATGATGGTACAATGGATCGATAGGGCACAATTGTACAACAGGTCGATAGGGCACGATGGAACAATGGGTCAATAGGGCATGGTGGTACAACAGGTCAATAGGGCATGATGGTTCAATGGGTCAATAGGGCATGATGGTTCAATGGGTCAATAGGGCATGATGGTACAATGGGTCGATAGGGCATGATGGTACAATGGGTTGATAGGGCATGATGGTACAATGGGTCGATAGGGCACGGTGGTACGAGTTGATAGGGCATGATGGTACAATGGGTCGATAGGGCACGATGGTACAACGTGTTGATAGGGCATGATGGTACAATGGGTCGATAGGGCACGTTGGTACAACGAGTTGATAGGGAACCTTGGTACAACAGGTCAATAGGGCACGATGGTACAACGGGTCGATAGAGCACGATGGTATAATGGGTCAATAGGGCACAATTGTACAACAGGTCGATAGGGCACGATGGTATAATGGGTCGATAGGGCACGATGGTATAATTGGTCGATAGCTGCAATTTCACTGTTGTGATATCTCTCAGGAGATATTGCATGATCTCACCCCCCAAGTGTCATTGCCTGTAGAAGACAGTTCTGGAAGATAAATGCATTGTCCTACCTCTTGGTTGTGATGGCCTTGGGGCTTGAGTGGTGAAGTATTCTTCAGGGTAGGGAGTGGTTGAAGTCGTCCTCGGAGATGCAGTCACACCAAACGAGGCTGGAAATAGATTGCTTAAGTTGTCCACATGTGATAGCCAACACTGCATGTAACAAACCGGCAGTGGGAAAACAATTCTGCCATTTAAGTAAGCTAGTTGGGTCTAACAACGCTTTGAATGTTATGTCAGTACTATCATGATGTGTCAGTTAACCCACAGTGAGGAAGGTCATACCTGTGCACTATGTTTGTGACACGCATGTGACAGAATATGGTGCTCACTAGGGCTGGGATGGGTAACTCGGGTACCCGGGTCGGGTGGATACTGAGTAGGACCCGAGTACCCACAGGACTACCGGGACCCGTGGTTAGTCACGTGATATATTGTTGAATGACAAAAATTATCTAGAATTCTATGGTTACACTACAAGTCACTAGTGTTCGCATTTCTTTCTGACTATACACCCATTCCTTCTGATTTTTCATATGGTTGAATAAAGATATAACTTAAGTCAACTTCAGTGTATGCATGACCAGATTGTTTAATACACGTATCTAAATATGTTTTGCCAGGGCTATGCTAAAATGTTCCCAATCGGACATTTTGAGACATCTCCTGAGACCTACAGTGGGTACACGGGTAATAGGGTGTTGGGTACCCAGGTAGTAAGTTTGGACTCGTCCCAACCATAGTGCTGACAGCCAATGAGCATATTCCCGAGGCAAGGGAGTTAACTGACCATAAAAGTCCAGTTTCCCCCTTGCCGAACTAGGCAGGAATTATGGAGTTACATTTTGGCTGTACTAACAAGTACGACTGCCGTGCAGATTTCGGTCAACTGCAGCATTCGTCACCACTGGCCCCTTTCCGCAACCTGCAAGAAGACTCGTCCCCCTATCGATGAATGTAATGTGCCAAAATACGACAAACCAATCAGAATGCGCGTATGATTTCAAGTACTCGTCAAAGAATCCCTCACAAATAACTTTTAAATTTACATATGTCTTGCATCTAAAAATATACCCAAGACACAGTTAAATGTGTTCAATCATACTGTATAATTCTGCACACCCCGGTGAGATTTAACTTGCATCTGAAATATATATAAGATATGGGGAAATATATGTGAACCATTACGCAACGAGTTGACAATTGTTTTAGGTATGCCCGTTTGCACTAAGACGGAACCCGGCCATGAGAGGGGCACGAGTTGCTATTCGGCTTGTCCCGGAATAACACGAATTGGTCACGAATGCAACTGCAGAAGAGACATAATTCATAACAGACACTGGTGGCGCTACCATCGAGCCACAAAATTTGAACCTAGTACTGTTGTGGTGATCATGTCTAAAATTGAATTAGAATTACTTTTGCAATTTTTGAAGATTATACTTTTGGTTCAGGGAGCTAATTAAGCCTTGAGATCCAACAAGCAAAGTTAACAGGAAATATTCCCAGACAATCAAAAACACACAATCTAGATCTAATAGAGTAAGGAATACCAACCATCTACAACTTTGACTGCCATGCTTTTGACGTCGCCATCTGGCAGACTACGACAGTAGTACATCCCTGAGTCAGACTTGTCTGCATTCTTAATGGTCATCTCGCTGACCATCAGGTAGCCATTCAAGGACAGAGTGATGCCCATACGCGAGGAACCGGTGTCGGTGTTGATACGGTTTCCATCCTTGAACCACTCGATGATACGGGAGGAGCCAGAGCTCATTGTTGTGGCATCACACTTGACACGGATGTGGCGTCCAACTTTCACATAGTCCTGACCAGTCATCAGCACTGTCACAAAAGCAGCAATATATACATGAAGTTCATGTTCAGTCTGCAGCAAAGATTGTATGTACTTAGTTCATTATCAGTCAACTCTTGGTGCACCTCTGTGCCTGGTTATGCTTTCCACCAAAACATAACCGTCTCTGAGGTTTTAAGTACAAGAAACATAGGCCAGACATTTTTTCAAACCTAGTTTAAGAATCCACCAACTCCAAAAATTTGAAGTGAAAACAAAATTATAAATATGAAATGCAATGGGAATTTCATTCCATAGACAAGAAATAATTAAAATGTTAAAAAAATCAATTACTGTCTAAATACTATAATTTAAATTACTATAATTAATTCCTCATTTTGAGGAAATCAAAAACATTTGAAATTGGATATATATTTTTATAATTATTTCAACCTACCAATTTTTGAATTTTTGGCCAATAATCAGTACAGCCAAAAAATAAAGGGTGCCTTTGCATAACATTCAAATTGATGGGTGAAAGAGCTGACCACATTAGAAACATCAGATTTTCATTCTCCGTTAGGTCTGACAATAAATAAAACATCTAAATAATCAGTTGGTCAACATCGCTATGTCATACATGGTCCAAGTGTTTTCAAACTAGTCACTCCAATCTATGCATCACTCACTTGAGCTCTTTTCTGGCTTCACTCCTGGGCTCTCCGTGGTCGTTGTCGGAGGTGCAAATGTTGGTGCAGGAGTAGCAACTCTGCCCCCACACTGTCTTTGGCATTCCCTCTCCGACAAAAAGTTGTTGTCATTACCCTGGCAGCCTCCGTAGAGGAAGGCCATGCAGCGCTGACTGTACGTGTCGAAGTACCAGCGTGTGAGCTCCGCGAGACACGACCCCTTGGCTCTGGGCTGCTGACACTTGTTCACATCAACCGAGCTGGTTTTGCCAGCCGAGTTCTTGCAGCGTCCCAGACACTCTTCCTCACTGTCAAACCGGTTCATGTTGCCGTCACAGCCACCAAACCAGAATCTATCACAGCGCTTAATCTCTCTGTCCCAGTACCACTTGACCACAAAGTCCTTGCACCGATTTGAGTCTTTGTCTTGTGAACAAGGGTCAAGGTTACCTGAAAAATCCGAGCGTCATCATTGTATAAAATCATAAAAATAATAAATGGATAAATGTCATTTCGTTATAAGCGTGTTCGTTATAAATGTGGTTTACTGTACTTGATTTTATTTCTCAGCTCCCTAGGGAGTATACAAGCTGCCTGTAAGACGCTAGATGGTTAACCGACACGTAACCATCTCATCTTACTGGGTACCCATGCACTGTGTCCAAGATTATTGCACTTATATAGCGACGTGCATGTATGTGTGTGTGTGTGTGGCTGCTTGTACTAGTCCGGACTGATGCCGATTTATAGTGCTAGCACTTAGATACCATGCCACAGTTTAACATGAATATCCCACTCAGACACAGTATACTGACTCCGAGCCGGACAGTCCTTGTTTTAGCCCCTTAATGCCGAGCGCCAGACCGGGTAACAACAAGTACCATCTTTTAACGTCTTTTGGTATGACGCGGCTGGGGATCGAACCCCGGACCTTCCGCTCTCCGGGCGGGCGCTCTACCAGTAGACCACGGAGGTGGTCTACCTGTTCATGAACAAGTGAAAGAAATGGTAACACGAACCTGCAGAGACCTTGGTAGTTTCCACCCCAATGATGACATCCTCGTCACAGCCCTCCTGGTTGTATCCTGTCGCCGCAGTAACGCCATCAGAGCAGCAGCCATATTGTGTGTTCTCGCAAGGCTCTCTGCCCGACCCTACTTCACAGCCATACATTTTGGGTCCTGCGCACACACAGTGTCAACACTCTTACACATAGTTCAAGTCATAAGTACGAAAGCCTCTTAGGGCCATTTGTTTTTTTAATTTTTTTCGATACTAAGTTGAAATTTCAAGATAGTATCAACTTCTGTATCTTGAAATTTCAAGATACTAAGTTGAAATTTCAAGATAGTATCTTGAAATTTCAACTTATCTAACTTAATTTCAAGATGGTATCGAAAAAAATATATAAATAAATGGCCCTAAAAGGCTTCCGTATATAAGGCATTGCATATTTACAGAAAGAAAGTAACTGTGCTTCATATAAGTGCAATAAAAATATATCTATTTAAATTTAAATAATGCATCTTTCAATATGTATTCATAAAGACATCTCGACTCGTAGGTCGTGATTCACAATTTGCACATACATGTTCATGCACAGCGCACAATATGGATGTTTGTGTGTTTGTTGGGAGCATCACACACGTGTTTCTTTAATGTGAACAGCACACAATGATTGTTTCGCTATCAGGTGTTGAATAAAACACTTATGTTTCAATCATCTGGTGTCTCCACTGCCTTGCCTGTTTAGAAGCAAATGGTGGTCACATCCGATATTGACATTATTAATTGAGTTGTTACACCACCCCTCAATACTGTCATGTCGCTTCCGATATTGACATTGTTAATTGAGTTCTTACACCACCCCTCAATACGGTCATGTCGCTTCCGATATTGACATTGTCAATTGAGTTGCTACACCACCCCTCAATACGGTCATGTCGCTGTGTGTCCTGTTACCAGGTATAGGTTTTGTTGATGAATTTCTTACGATAAAACAATGATCAGACGAATGACCAAATATTACATTATTATTGTCAAAAACATAACATTAATACTACTTTATTTGAAGCATAGTTACTTTTTTTCACTAGTATAGATTAAACTTGTAAATCTTATTTTATGTATAGAAGTAGATTTTCTACTCTGGCGCATTTGAACATTATTAACAGACTCTTGTAATGACTGATGCATACCTTGAGCATTGGTGACTCCATCGTGGCAACACCCATACTGCGATGACTGTAATACAAGAATACAAGGATACAGAGCATGCTCACGAGCCTCAACACAGAGGTGGGTGAGGTGGGTGAGGTGAGGTGAAATTGGGTTTAACGTCACGATCAAGATTATTGCACTTAAATAGCGACGTGTGTGTGTGTGTGTGTGTGTGGCTGCTTGTACTAGTCCAGACTAATGTCGGTTTTACAGTGCTAGCTAGGGCTGGGACAAGTCCCCCTGTTACCTTACCCTACCCGGGTACTCGCTGTAGGTAGGTGAAAACTGTTCGATTGGGAAAAGTTTGACCATAGATCTGGTAAAATGTGTTTAGATACATGTATGAAACGACCTGGGCCCACTTGCACAAAGCGATCTTAGCGCTAAGATGATCGTAACTCCCATACTTCAGCATAGGTTTACAACAGTCTTAGCGCTAAGATTGCTTTGTGCAAGTGGGCCCTGGTGTATACACTGAAGTTGACTGAGGTTTTATGTTTATTCAAACATATAAAAGTCAGAAGTATTTAGTCAGAACATTAGTGACTTGTAGTTTTCAACATAGAGTTTTAGATACCTTTTGTCACTAAACAATATATCATGTGACTTACCACGGGTACGGGTAGTCCTGTGGGTACCCTGGTCCTACTCACTACCCACCCGACCCGAGTACCCGAGTTACCCATCCCAGCCCTAGTGCTAGCCCACTGATATACCATGCCGCAGTTTAACAAGTAAAACCACACTGACACAGTATACTGCCACAAGCTGACAATTCCTTGTGTTATCCGCTTAATGCCGGGCGCCAGGCAGGGTAACAATAAGTACCATCATTTTACGTCTTTTGGTATGACGTGGCTAGGGATCAAACTCCTGACCTTCTACCATCCAGGCATAGACCACTGGACCACTAAGGTGGTCTCAACACAGATGATGGGGCATCACATGCAACAATGCATCCACAATGGCATACCATGTCTTGTAACAATACACAGATGTTTTCCCCCATAAAATATACTTAAAAAGACAATTCAAATATCTGAAAAAGATTTTTCCAGTGCTGTATACATATACCGTATTAGACGTAATAAGCGCCCCGCTCTAATAAGCACCCATGGCGATATTTGCTAATATATTGGCTAGTGAACAATCCCAACTAGCACCCTTTCCCATTGATCAATGTACACAAGACTTATTTATTCATGTATAATACGCACCCGTGTGTTATTTGCACCCTTAATTATGGGCAATTAAATCTCTCGAAAATATATCTATCGTGTATAATACACACAGATTCTTCTTTTATATCATTTCAGGCTGTCAGCTTAAACCACAAAATTTACAATCTTTCAACCTCGTTTTTAATCTCACCAAAATTATATTCTAATAAGAGCCCCCTATTTCTAATTTTGAGAGCGCCCTGGGCGCTTATTACGTCGAATACAGTATATGCTTAAAATAAATATACAAAAAAGGTAGATGTCATGAATATTTTGAGGATATGTTTTGGAAGTAAAGACTGAGCACACAAATTCATAAAAATATCCCCAAACATTTTCCTGAGGTTTGTGTTCAGTGTACCTGCATACTGTGGTTGATGGTTATGATGTGAGTGTGTTCAGTATACCTGCATACTGTGGTTGATGGTTATGATGTGAGTGTGTTCAGTATACCTGCATACTGTGGTTGATGGTTATGATGTGAGTGTGTTCAGTATACCTGCATACTGTGGTTGATGGTTATGATGTGAGTGTGTTCAGTATACCTGCATACTGTGGTTGATGGTTATGATGTGAGTGTGTTCAGTATACCTGCATACTGTGGTTGATGGTTATGATGTGAGTGTGTTCAGTATACCTGCATACTGTGGTTGATGGTTATGATGTGAGTGTGTTCAGTATACCTGCATACTGTGGTTGATGGTTATGATGTGAGTGTGTTCAGTATACCTGCATACTATGGTTGATGGTTATGATGTGAGTGTGTTCAGTATACCTGCATACTGTGGTTGATGGTTATGATGTGAGTGTGTTCAGTATACCTGCATACTGTGGTTGATGGTTATGATGTGAGTGTGTTCAGTATACCTGCATACTGTGGTTGATGGTTATGATGTGAGTGTGTTCAGTATACCTGCATACTGTGGTTGATGGTTATGATGTGAGTGTGTTCAGTATACCTGCATACTGTGGTTGATGGTTATGATGTGAGTGTGTTCAGTATACCTGCATACTGTGGTTGATGGTTATGATGTGAGTGTGTTCAGTATACCTGCATACTGTGGTTGATGGTTATGATGTGAGTGTGTTGCAGTTACCTGACATGAAGCTGGACAGCCTGCATTGTTGGCTCCAGTGGCGGGAGTTCGGCCGTCTGGACAGCACCCGTAGCGAGACGACCGGCACAGGGACTTCGTTGGGCCATCATCGTCTTACAAACATAAGAACGCCATTTTGTTTCACACTTTTCATCCTTAACAATGTGTTGATATATGCAGTGCTCTGTTGGTACTGGTAAGATTTCTATTGAAAGGTTGACAGCAAAGTCACTAATTAAAAATGAAAACAGACTTGAACTCTGACAAATTGAGAATGCAGAAGGTGGCTCTACAGTGTGTCATGATGCAAACACAACCACTTAAAAACACTAAAATACTACAGATCACTGTGTAGTATCAACACAACACATAATAAAGGGGCTTCTTTAAGAATTTACTATTTTGCTGAAGTCATGTCAGAAGTTCGGACTATCCTAAGGCCAGGCTTTTCCTATTTTTAGGATTACAGATTTTTCAGCCCAAAGTCCAGGGTTGGAGGAGGGGGGAAAAAAAAGCCAGATACATTTTTTTTTAATGCAGAATATTTTGTGCTCAAAAGACTGCCATTTGTGACGACAAAGCCCCTTATAACAATAAAAATTCTACCACTTACAACACGGACAATTGTCAAGGGAGGCTATTCATGTTCGGCTTCGAGATCAACAAAGATCGATTATGTATCTCTTTACTAGTTTACAACGGTAAATTCATATGTTTTTTTGTTAGAAGGTGATGACAACGCGGCTATCAGAGGGGGAAATAAATGGAAATCGGATTTTTTTTTTACATTTTCTAAAAAATTAGAGTCGGTGGGTCTGTAATCCGAAAAATATAAAACGCCTGGCCTAATGTTTCTCAAAATTCCATCAAACATAGCATCCTCCTTGGTAGATCTCAATGAATAAGTAAATTTTTGTTTTAAGTAAATTCTTTAAGGTCAGTGAAAAATCGTCACCTTCTGAATCAATGTAGGTGGAGTCTGAACATTTCCTTTCACAGTCGGCCTTCGAGTGGTAGCGGTTGGCATTTCCACGACAACCACCATAAGTGAACTTCTTGCACTCCCCACTCTGGTGGTGGAAGTAGTACCTCGGCTTGCTAGCCTTGCAGGGTCCCTTAGCTTTGGGCAACCGACATGCACCTGCAAACATCGACACATATGTTATGCTGTCAGGTACTAAAGTACTCATGGAAATGAAAAAAAATGTTTTGCTGGATTTAATAATCGACACAAAGCATTACGCAGATGTAAATACGAAATAACAAAACAACTGGAAAAGTACTAGCCTAGTCTGGAGTTGCTAGTTTTATCTCAGTGCTCAATACAAATATACTTTACAGGAGGTAATTTGTAGGCACTTTTAACATTAAAAAATAAAACACTAAGTCCAAATTGACATGGCAGAAACAGGCTATAGGCATTATGCAAATTAGCCTGGAAAAAAGTTATCAAAACAACAATAAAAATAACAGCTATGTTTATGTACATAATAATAATGACATGTAAGTTGTTGTTTGAGAAGGGAATATGTTACTTTTACGTTCTGATATTTTGACGATGATTCACTATCCCACAATGCCACTCACAAATCACTAACCACTGACAAATCACATGCACGTGGGTTTCAAGCACCTGTTTTCACCTGTCGTCAAGGTGTCATAGGTCATGGACATTCACCTTGATCTACTAACACCTGGTTATGCTCAGTTTCACAATAGTCTGTTTTGTTCATATTTTTACACACTTTTACACTGTTTTTGTGCCAAGGCCCAATTAGTACTAATTGAGTTGTTTGAATATTTATATATTTTGTATATTAACTGCATTTATTTAAAATCTGAGATCGACAAAAACAGGTTTTTTTCATTTCCGTGAGTACTTTAGTCCAGATCATGAATTTAGTTTTCTGTCACTGATATAAGTTGTCAATGGAAGTGCAAAAGAGATATGGTTCATTTCAGTGTAGACAGTAATCTAAAGTCAGATGGTAACCTTTGTTTCTGGGCCAAACCCTGCAGGCAGTCTGTGCACAGAGAGAGTGCATGCAGATGTTGTTTTTATTGGTGTTTGTTGTTGTTTAACACTGCACTATTCAATATTCCAGCTATGATGATGGTCTGTAAATAATTGTGTCTGGATCAGTCAATCCAGTGATTGACATCATGAGCATTCATCTACCCAATTGGGATATAATGACGTGCATCAACCAAATCAGCAAACCTGATCACCAGATCATGTTAGTATCCTCTTATAACAAGAGGGCAGTAGGGTAGCCTTGTGGTTTAAGCATTCGCTTGTCACTCCAATACATGGGTACAATGTGTGAAGCTCATTTCTGGTGTCCCCCTCCGTGATATTGCTGGGATATTGCTAAAAGCGACGTAAAACCATACTCACTCACTCATACAACAAGCAAGGCTGCAGAAGACCAATTCTAACCTGGATCTACACGATTGTCTTGGTAAATGTCTCACCTGGGCCTTTAACATGAACACAGGATTTTTCACAGTCACTCTGGTTGTTGAAGCGGTTGGCATTGCCCCCGCATCCCCCGTACCAGAACTGGGAGCAGGTCCCCATCACCATGCTGAAGTGCCACTGTGCGGAGTAGTCGGAGCAGTCGCCCTTCTCTTCAGGCTGGCCACATGTCGCTGCAGACAAAGTGCTCGTATCAGCCTATGTGTACACTCAACCAGAGTAAGTATCTAAACGTCCACAGGCTTCAGGACACTATACATTATTTCTTTAACACGATGTCCGAAGCATACATGTACGCTAACTGATCTTACTCACATAAAGCCTCAATGTTTTCTGGAATAAAATATATTGTCATGATAATGTAACGGCCATAAAATTTCCGAGTCCCGTGATGGGATTAGAACCACGGACCTTCTGATCAGAGGTCTGACGTCTTGTCCACATGACCAAAGAGGTTAACCCCGTCAGCAGTCTGACAAGGTAAGGATGTCATCTGTGGGATGACTCCACGCCCTGCTACAATGACATCATGCTCTTGTTGTTGCAGTTGATTCTGAGCAAGGAATTCAGACGCAATTCGGAACGTCAATTTTAACAAGCAAAACTGTTGCAGCTAAAGGTCATTATGCAAAATCATAGAGAAAAAATATATTAACCATAACATGGTTAAGTCGGAGTAATCACTTGAACCTGTTGATTCTACTGGTGACGACAGATTATCAGGATTTCTCAATTACATAAAGTAAGAGGAATACAAATAGCAATTTTCTTTGGCTGTCGATATTCAGGTAAAATATAGAGTGATGTGAGGCACTGTGTTTTAGTATGAGGAGGGCTGGGATGAAAATCTAAAAATTAATTTGTTATGATCTTAGATTTATTTTGCCTTAATCCAGTCCATCGCAATGTGTGCTGACACTCGAAGACACATGAACATTTTCAAGGGCATGGTCAGGTCAATGACTTAGTGCTGGTTAAAAACACTTCTGTCCTTCTAACAACGCGTGTCGTCTGACGTTGATAAATGAATAATTTGTATACTCGTATATGCAAGGGGCCGACGTATGGTTCTCAGTAGGAAGTGACAACTTGGAGACGAAGGCTTGCGGTATATACAGTTTTACTCTATACATGTAGATATATACATACAAAAGACACTATGTGCCAGGTCAGCACATAGTGATAGTGGTTGTTGTCTAGGTGCCCCGGAGGACCCAGGATAACCCTAGCTAGGCTAAGGGTAAGACCTTTCTTTTTTTTCAATCTCTTTGGACCAATTCTTATATAGCCAAGGTCACCTGACATTAGTAAGTAATAAATATAAATATAAACAGTAATTCATCAGTGACATACTTGCACATCTCATTCAGGATGGCAGACGGTCGATGTACACAAAAATGGAGATTAACAATCAGGATTAGCATCTTATAAATAACAGCAATTAAGTGTTTCAAGGCATATAGATGTCATGGCTCCAGGGTAATGAGCCTTTGCAATTAAATGTTCTTCAGACAATGGGTGTCGTAAATCAGTCGCTATGACTCTTCATTGAGGATAAAAAGAAAAAGGAACGCCTCATCCAGAACAGACCCACAATACCGTTGTTTACCAACATTCACTATGTTGCACACATGTGGACAGCTCACATACTGGCGTAATATAGAACTGTTACTAAATATGTTGATCGATGTTGCGTTTTGCCTAAATGGGAGGACATCGTGGTTCCAATGTGAAAATCTCCAGTGACACGAAGAAGAGAAAATATGGCAGATTTTAGCCACCACCATTGGGATTATCCCCAACTCACAACTATCTCTAGCATGGGATTATCCCCGACTCACAACTATCTCTAGCATGGGATTATCCCCGACTCACAACTATCTCTAGCATGGGATTATCCCCGACTCACAACTATCTCTAGCATGGGATTATCCCCGACTCACAACTATCTCTAGCATGGGATTATCCCTGACTCACAACTATCTCTAGCAGGTAGTTCATTACGGAATTCACCCAGGTACCACTTGACAGCTAAACCAACACAAAGGCAAATATCAAGTCCTGAATCTTGTCATGATGAATCAAGAAATGTGAATCTTCAACAATGGCTGTAAAACAATGAAAGAAGCTACATTAAAATCCTTCCTCATCATCCACTATACTGTGGAAATGTTTCTTTCATTCCACAAGTAGAGAGTCGCGGGTGAAACCAAGGTCTTGCTCCCAAGGCGCTCATCTCAAGGGTTTACAATTACAAGCATGACCAAGGAGGAGTGTTTATACAGCTTAGATGCCAACAAAAAAAGATCAAATATGTTAGAATGAATTGAGAAAATATGTCAAATGTCGAGCAAAAACAAATATTTGAGTTGGTAGTCCCCCTATAGCTCCCAAACAGAAGTAGACTCGACCAGCGCCTAGTCAATGCAACACTGGTTTCACATTACACCGAGCGTGTTTCTCTAAAACATGTAGAAGACGATAAATATTCTTAAGATATCACTCAAATGCATTCGCACATTTCAGTTTCTGATCATTTTACAAGAAACATGGAAAAAAAAAATTATTAAAAAAAAAGACGCCATATAGCTGGAATATTGCGGAGTGCAGTGTTAAACAACAAACCAACAAGAAAAAAAAAAAGTATGACTTTGTAAAGAATTCCTAGAGACGATATAGTGTTACAGCCTTCTAAATTTGAGACTACCAAATTGTGCAGAGGAGATGTTAACATCCAATGAAGGACGTCCTCATTGACAAGTAGCAGTTAAGGGCTATAATTCCAGTTCTCAAGGCTTCAAGTTTTCTGCAAATTGGAAGTGAATAAAACTGATAGAAAATGAAAGAAATAGGAAACATTCTTGTCCTGTTCAAGCAGGACTAGCTACAAACTCTGAAGACATGAAATATGGTTTCCACTGGTCTTCTGGACTAGTCCTAAAAAAATCACAAATTTCTCATGTTCTGTGACAAGAAATATGGTAAGCATAATGTTTGTAAAGACCTATTTAGCAGCTATTAGGTTATAAAATGTTATAAGACCTACATCACAGGAAGTACAGTCTAAAATTATAAAGATTGTAAAAAGTCATCAGGACTTCATTCTGCCAACAAGCATGTGTAATCTGAGGTTTCCATGGCGGTATACTCAGAAACCTTTGCCATATCATTATTCCTTGAAACCTTAAGTTAGATTTGAAATTAATGTATCAGATAATTTGTAAAGGTCATACGAATATCAGTTTTATCCTCTTACAACAGAAAACAAGTCAGATTATTTGATAATAATATATCAGATAATTTGTAAATTCCAAAATTCCCTAGTCAAAGACAGCAATAATGATCATTAGAGGTCATACGAATATCAGTTTTATCCTCTTACAACAGAAAACAAGTCAGATTATTTGATAATAATATATCAGATAATTTGTAAATTCCAAAATTCCCTAGTCAAAGACAGCAATAATGATCATTAGAGGTCATAGGAATATCTGACACCTCTTAAAACAATGGATGACGTAACCGGAGGCATCTTAAGGGTGTCAGATGTGTACTGAATGTCAGTAGCAACAGAAGTAAGGTGAATCACCTCTCAAACAGTTAAACTCATATTTTGTTTGTGTCTAACCTTTCTCTACGTGTCTGCGTGACCCCGAGATATTTGTGGTATCAGCCCCCTGTCTATCTGTCTTACCCCCTGTGTATGTAATCACCACTGGCCCACCCTCATTGCCCTTCGACAAGGGGGAGAATTACCCCGCTACATTCCCAATATACATTTACATTTCAGACAGGCACTGCCAAATGTGTTTGTTATTTTGAGCACTTCATTTGCGATAATGCTTTCTGAAGTTTTCCAAACAACTAATTTTGTTTATCATATCCTGAAAATTTGACTCGAGGTATCACATGCTCTTATTAGTTTTAAACTTGTTTTTCTTCACCACTGCTGTGTTAATCTGACATCAAGGTAGTGTAGAGATATCAGTGATTATATATTTTCCTCCTACACGCGTATTTTATCTCCAAAACATGAGTGAATTTCATCAACAGTTTGTATTTATCATTGTCAATGAGATAAACATGCTGTAACGGCCTGCCTGAAATGTCTGTTGCATGTACTAAACTGTCAGGCAAAAGAAAGTATACACCCATGTGTGATGGTGGCTAAAAATGAACCAAACAAGAAATGGTTATTTGACGGTGATGTATTTGATGCGGGTGTCATAGTTGCGTTTTGGACCTTAAGTTTGCAGTGTTTTGGCCTTGTAACTTTTTGATAACATTTGTCATTTCTTGGTAAACAATTTCTCAAGAAAACGTGTGCACAGCTGATGGCTGCTTCCGGTTTAGTTTATGAGACAATACATACAGTAATCTTATCCTCTGCATATAAAACGATGCCTAGCAGAACAGGAAATATGATTTAATCGGTAAATCAACATGTCTAGTGATGTTTTATCTCAAATTTCAAATTTGCATTGACCAAGTTTAATTGTTGTCATGTTTGTTAACCTGAATTCGATGTAATTATTTTCTGTGGAAGACAAACATGTTTTTATTGCAAATGTAGGGATTGTGTATGTGCTTGTGATGTGCTTCATTCCGATTCGCTTTATAGACGGGGTGTATAAATAAGCCTCAATTTTGAAGCCTTATATGTAGGGTCACTTTATAGACTGCGATATATGGTAGATTCTTTAGCCCTGCAGTTTAGTATACTATCTGTGGTAGATCTAGTATGAACCAGGAAATAACAGTAACTTGTTTTAATAAACATCTGAAATCTAAATTTGCATATCCCTAGTAGTTGGTTGGTTGGTTTGTTGTTTAACGCCGCACTCAGCAATATTACAGCTATATGACAGCAGTCTGTAAATAATCGAGTCTGGACCAGACAATCCAGTAATTAAAAACATGAGCATCCATCCACGCAATTGGGATCGATGACATGCATCAACCAAGTCAGCGAGCCTGACCACCCGATCCCTTTAGTCGCCTTTTACGACAAGCATAGTCACCTTTTACGGCAAGCATGGGTTGCTGAAGACCATATCCCCAGTAACTGCAATGGTCCTGGGTATCATTGTACAAAACAACCTTGTGGTAAGTCTATGTTAAGGTATGGCAGCTACGATCACCTAAGCACTAAGACTGCTTTTGTACAACTGCA